TAATTTTACCGGCCATAAAACGGCATCATGCAGTATCTGACTAAAAGAATTACCTCACGTTTTGAGCCCTTTTCAACCTTTTTCAACCAGAATCTCAGGGCTCCTGTATGGTTCTCTAATGTCATCTTAAGCAGATGTTTCTTACAGCAGAATCACAGACTTTGTGTAGAAAGCACCAAATAGTAGATTAACTGGTTTGATTAGATTAACTGGATACCTTTTGAGGCTTTGGACTGTTACTCAACAAAGGGGTGGACCTAGAGTCTGTCTTCAGACTGCAGACTTGACTTGAAGTCAGTCAGAAGTCAAAATGTCAAATATTTCCTGATTCCAGCTTCTCAAATGTCTGGATCTTCTGCCTTCCTTTGTCCTACGTCAGTAAACTTAATCTGTGTGGGTTTTTGACTTTTAGTCACACAAAATGAGTAATTTGAGGAGGTCTCCTTGAGCTCTCATGATGGGCCTGTTTCACTATATGTTGATATCTTATGGATGAAACAATGAATCCAGATCATTAGTCAAACTTGAAACTAGGAAGCTTAAATGTGTCACCATGGGCCCTTGGAGCCGGTATTTATGTGTATATCATCACAGCTGGTGATTAATTCACTTTGCTTTGCCGTTACACTGATATAAGTGTGCTATCTTCCAAAGGTCAGATTCAAAGCCACACGCCTCTCTCACTGTCTCCACTTGTCATTACCAGCTCCTCTGAGCGCTGATAAACTCTTCTTTGACTTTCCAAATGCTGCTGATGAGCAGCGTCAGGTCAGTCTGTCCTTTCAAAACCAACAGCAGGAGCTGGCAACAAAAAGGCCCATTCATCAGTCAGTGCAGTGACATACAGCGTGAGATTGGGCTGCAGACACCGTAACAGAGAGCACGGGGTTGTGAGTCAGCCTCACCACCCAGCGCTGGCTTTGCTTTTGATTCCTAATGACAGACCAATAAGAAGAACACAGCTCTCCTGGCAGTTTTCTTTTACCCTCAGGGGAGTTTTTAGGGTATTTCCATCAAGTTCCACAGGTACATTACTGTACTGCCATTGCTATTTGTGCACTTTGGGTCTTTATCAAGACATTGGCCCAAAATACAAGATGCCAGAGCAAAAAAAGCCCCTCAAAAAGTCAATGTAGGCCAAACCCCAGCTAGCTTTAACCTACCAAGACAGCACAGACTGTCAGCAATCAGTGCCACGTTTAATTCATAGTCAACAGTTTAGGCTACTTTCTCCAGCATAATTGCAGTGGTTTACACTTGTTTTTTTCCTCCCTTTCTTTTTGACACTCAGTCATCCGGGCAGCCTGTGTTGATAATATCTCACAATCCAAAGGAATTTCACAGGACACACCCCTCTCTCCCAAAGGTTTCTCTCTCCCCCACTGCAGATAAGGAAGTGGCAGAGCAGGAGGAACTCTCAGGTAGCCAGCCTAGCCCTCAGGCCATGAAAACAGCCTTTTACTGGAATACAGCAGAATAATCAGGATGCCCCTTTCACACCCAGGACAGTGTGTCTGGTACTCAAATGTTAATGCACAGACAGCTTTTATTGACATTCTGTGGACTCGGTATCACTCCTCTACAACATTCCCATGAGAAACTATCTTTGAGTGAATTAGTGATTTATAGTGAGTTTAGGGCATTTTAACCTCCAATGTGTCTGTATTCCTACCATCTGTACAGTAAATTAGAATTCACTTTATAAGGGTTATATTCCTAAAGTGATTTATGGTTTAATGATCATATCTCATGATACAGGTTACAGTGCCACTATAATATCTATCTATCTATATATATATAGAGAGAGAGAGATATATATAGGCTATATAAAGTTAGTGTGGAGTTTTCAGTCCACTTTACCTGCGATATAATGCGACAGTTAACCTAACCTGTTAACTACTAACTCAGTGGGTTCATGCTGAGACTAACAACAGTTAAAAACTAAAGTTATCTCACCGAACAGTTCGTTGGGGATGTTCGTTTTGTCCCCCGACATTTCTTCTGCCGAGGTAAACACCGAGGAGGAGTCCGGTGGTGAGGGCGAGGAGGAGCGGGTCAACCCCGGGGAGAGAAGCGGCTGGTTGCAGCGGAGGAACGGAGGGAGAGCTTCGGTGGAGGTGTTCCGTTGTGTTGTTCAGTTAACTCTGGGTCACCTGTCCGTCTGGATCCATTCCAACACTGTGTGTGCGCACACACACACACACACACACACACACACACACACACTGGGATTAAAAGTGCTTCAGGGTGAAACACGGATCCAAAAGCGGAGACAGTCGGTGTGTGTATGACAACAAACCCTGTAAGCACATTGCTCCACTCACACACTCCGCAGTAATCCCTCCTTTATTTCACATGGACGGGACAAAAAAGTTTGTTTTGATGCTAAAGATGGGAGAACGGCGACACCTGGTGGCCATTTGCATGTCCAGCAGCTTACTGTAATTCACTGTGGCGTGCACTGGTGGAATGTAACTAAGTACATTTACTCAAGTACTCTACTTAATGACAATTTTGAGTATTCATTCATTTTTTCCCGCTACTTTATAATCTTCTCAAAGGGAAATTGTGTGTGTTGTACTTCTTGGAGATACACAATATGGATTTTACTCAGCTGATGCTCTGTTACAGGACCAGCTCTCCCAGCTCACTGTGCCTGACGCCACCTGCAGGTGGATCACAGACTTCCTGTCTGACAGGAAACAGCATGTGAAGCTGGGGAAAAATGTCTCTGACTCCCAGACCTTCAGCAGCGGACCCCCCAAAGGCTGCGTTCTTTCTCCTCTACTCTTCTCCCTGTACACCAACAGCTGCACCTCCAGTCACCTGTCCGTCAGGCTCCTGGAGTTTGTGGATGACACCACCCACATCAGGCTCATCTCTGGTGGAGATGAGCCGGCCCACAGATGGGAGACTGACCATCTGGTGAGCTGGTGCAGCCAGAACAACCTGGAGCTAAATGCTCTGAAGCAGGACAGTTTCTAGCTGTTTGGGGGCCCTATGCGAGATCCTATTTGGGGGCCCCTATTTTTTTCAAACTCTGAGGTAGAGATTCCTAACTTTTTCATATATTCTGTGACGATGCAGCAGTCTGTTACATTTTAATTGGAAAGCAGGCTAGAGTACATTAATAAATACGACAGATACAGTATGTTCTTGAAAAATGTTTAATGTAAACTTTGAGGTGGCATAACATAAAAAAGCTTTAACCCACCATTCCAAAACAGTAAAATATAAATAACTAAACTTACTTAAATAAATAAGTATATAATGGACCAGCATCCATGTTATTGCACAAAAAATAAATAAATAAACTAGTTATGTAGTTATATATTGTAGTTGTAGTTTAAAATGAACCATATATAACTGTACAACATCACTACTTGTGATCAGGATCTGTATGATCACAGTCTTACGTTCTCCTCCTCAAAACTTCTGCTTCCTGGCCAGAAGCTGATGAAGGTCCCCCTGGCTCTCCTTGAACTGGACCTCCGAAGTATTTCAGAATCGCTCCTGCAAAGACAAAGCTCCTTAGGTTACCGAGCAATCAGAAGCAAATATTCATATCATATAACTGCAGCTGTGTTGAACTATGCAAACAATTCTGAATCTGTTTTTGTATTAAACATTACAATATGCAGTGTCCCTGTTTAAGCATCTGCCAGTTTTTCTGTGTTTATCTCCACATTATACTAGTTAATGAATAAAAATGAAGGTAAATGAGTGATGAGCACCATATGATATAAAGGGAATATGTTTGCATATATCTTGCAGTGCATTACAAAGTGGACAACTAGCAGTCCTATGCACTACAGGACACTTTAAATACACAGGTTTGTTCAAATTAGTAAACTACATTGTCACAATATATATTCTAATACATTTGGCAAGGGGGATTCAACTAAGTCAGCAGATTTGTCCAGTAACCAAACCACAGTAAATAAAAATACAATAGAGGAAAGAATTGGATTATATTTCATAGCACAGTGATCATTTAAAACTCATAGTGCTATATGAATAATCCACTGCTATACTGCTACTACTGCTACTATCTTCTATCTATCTATCTATCTATCTATCTATCTATCTATCTATCGATCTATCTAAAGTAACAATAATCAGTCTGATAATAATTGGTTTTATTTATACAATAGTAGCACAGGTCTATGCTTGAGACACATTTATTTGAGCCTTTCTGTAAATCAAACTCTGGATAAAGCTGACTTTATTTACAAACAAACAAACAAACAATCATAGCCCGTTATCTGAGGTAGCTCACATTTATCTGAGGATAGCTGAACTAGCCAGCATGACAAAAGTAACAAACTAACTTGTTCAGAAGTTGGCATTATGTGTCCCCCCCCCATCAAATGCCTTACCTTGATCCTGTGGTCGTTTCTCTGCACCAGACGCATAAGTACGTTTCGATGACGTTGTAATCAGCGTCATCCGTTATTCTCATCACTTCAGAGGAAGGTGGGCGGCTGTCAATCATCCTGTCAGACCTGTCGGCAGACGTCACTTACCACGTGACAGCCCAGCCCAAAGGTGATTTTGACCTGATTACCCCCGAACACTTACATGCTTTGCAAATAAATGCATAATGAATGCATGCAATACACGCAAATAAAGACAGGTACTTTTAATTCTCCAAAATAGAATGAAATATGAGGCTGAACTTGCAGTTTGGGGGCCCCCTGGTGGCGGCGGGGCCCTATGCAGCCGCATAGTCCGCGTATAGCAAGAAACGGCTCTGCTCTGAAGAGAGAGGAGATGGTTGTGGACTTCAGGAAGAACCCAGCCCCAACCGCCCCCATCGTCCTGTGTGACTCCCCAGTTGACTCTGTGAATCCCTCCCCTCTGGCAGGGGGCTGCAGTCCATCAGGACCAAAACCTCTCCCACAACAGTTTCTTCCCGTCTGCCCGGTACCCCACTGTCACTGACTCTTAAACCCACCCTGTATGTACAGCATGCATTACATTAATGCACGCCCGTCTTCTGCACAGTTGTCTTTTCTTATCTTTCTTATCTTTATTGATTTATATTTTGAAAGTACTTTCTTTTTCTGTGATTTGTATATTTGTATATTTTATGCACCAATGCACAGGACACATTCCTCGTAGGTGTAAAAACCTACTTGGCAATAAACATAATTCTGATTCTGATATTGATAACTAATGATTAGCTGCTTCTCTCCACCAATAAATAAGCGATAATGTCACTTTTTTGTATTTTAAGTAACCTGTAGTTTATGCACACCTGAGGGTAAGACAGGCTGAGATGTGTCGATATCTCTGTAACCAAATCTAAATGACACCACATCATTATAGTAAACACAACAGAAACATACAGCAGTGCTGACTCTACACAGGTTCATTGTTTTCTATCACGATCTACAAAACACACTTACATACATACATACATACACAACACACACACATATATATATAAAAATATAGCAAACATTTTTGTATAGAATTATAGAAAAAAATAAGAATGATTATCAGAATGATATATTTTTTTACATAATGTACAGTGTGCATCCCTGACATTTATTTAACAGCTTTATTTAGTGACCCTGATTATGATTTGATGTAAACAACAACACACACACACACACACACACACACACACACAGACACACACAGCTCCTGGTAGCCTCAGCCACTCCTTCACCCTCCACCGGGCTCAGCTCTGCTCTCTGCCTCGGTCATCTCTCCATCGCCTGGCGGAGCCCCGTGCACTCGTCCTCCTTATCTCGGTTTCTGTAATCAAGTCTTTCATTGATCATCAGATCCTCCGATCCTCCGCTTTTGGGCAATGTGTGCACATCTGTCAGTGAATAATAACCAGCAAGTATCCAGTCGAGCCATAGTGTAGATAGTGTTATGGCATGCCGTTTAGGAAATTAATCTTTGAATATATTGAATGAACCTTGACTGATGTCATCAAGGCACTGCTGCCATCTTGTATTTTGCTGCGAGAATGAGTCAGTCAGCTCGGAACCTTGTGGCATCAATACTGAGCAATGGAGGACATTATTAACTCATTGGCAAGTGCTTGTACGGGCCAAAATCCTCCCGATAGTACCCGTGCCCAATACCATTCTCCTGATGAAGAGGCTCGCTCCCTTTTTAATCGTGGCAGGCCGACTACAACAGGCCTCAGGCAAAATCCTGACAGAAACAGGCCTTCAACCTCACAGGAGTGCCCCACAACAGTCCCTCTATACAATCTTCACCCGTACAAAGGAAAGGGCCCAGGCCTGTTGTAGTCGGCCTGCCACGATTAAAAAGGGAGCAAACTTCTTCGTCAGTTGAACGGTTGCCAATGAGTTAATAATGTCCTCATTGCTCAGTATTGCTGCCACAAGGTTCCTGACTGACTCCTTCTCACTTCTTGCAGCAGCAAAACACAAGATGGCAGCAGTGTCTTGATGATGTCAGTCAAGTTTCATTCCATATATTTAAGAATTAATTCAATATATTCAAGGTGTATTCCATATATTCAAAGATTCATTTCCTAAACGGCATGGGGGGCAGAATGGGCCTGCAGACTCCTGTTCACATTGTATGGACAAGTTCATTTTATACTATTGTGAGGACTAAACCTAATTATTACTGTTATTTCATGTTAATATTCACTTAATATTCTATAGAAAACAGCTCTGATCCGGTTCCAAACTGTTGCTCCGTGCCTGTAAAACACCCACCAGGTAACGGCTGCCTCTCTCTTTCTCTACCAAATACTATGACCACTAGCCTATATGCAGGACTTTTAGGATCCGACCCGTTCTAGGGTTCCGGTTCAGCAGCCTACCTCTGGTCTGCGCTCCTGGTCCGCTGTCTCCGGCCGGCTGGGGTGCTCCCTGTGGTCCTGGTTCCACAGCTCTGTGAAGGATCTCGAGGGACACTGCAGAGGCCTGCTCGGTCCATCGGTCCCGGTTCTCTAAAGGGACCCCGCGGAGTTTGGACGCCGGGCAGCAGCAGCACCAACAAGATGAAGATAGCGAGTATTTTCTGGAAACATATACGTTTACATATATTTTATAAGCACATAAAAAAACATAGAACAAAATGCATCCACATGCATCATTCAAACACAGACAAAGCATTCAGTGAGAGTCTGTTTCCATCGCAGACGTCAGGCCTGTCACGACTGTCACACTGATGCTGCTCTGTCCACTTCCCTCTCTATTTATTACCTCTCACGCACTTCAGCTCGACTCATCAGTGAATGCTTTCTCGGGAATGCCATGCTTCGTCATAATTATGGCATTTAGAGATAAGTCATCCCTTTTTTTATTGTCATTTTATATAGAGAGAGATTTTGAAGATCTTTTTAACAGTTTTTTCCAATTGCTTAAACAATTTTGCAAACTAGGCTGGTTTTATCAAAATACTAAACACAATTCACAAAACCACACACCCAAACTGCAAAATCCCTCATATATCCTGCAAAACGAAGCACTGCAACCAAAACTACATATAGCTTTATCAAAATCAAACTTTTGCACCAAACGGCACACACTTCATTCATATTACCAGATGTTTGTCTAACCAACTACACACTGTTGGGCATAATGAAAAACACTCTCATCTTCAGTATGCTTTGCCATAATACTAAAATAGTTCAAATTGTAGAAAGTTATTCAGATTGTTCACATGCACAGAATTATTTGCAGATATACACACACACACACACACACACACACACACACACACACACACACACACACACACACACACACACACACACACACACACACACACACACACTGTTGAAACATTTATATTTTTATTTTTTACCAAAAAAGTCAGTGCAACATATGCACAGCAGATATATTTACATTGGAGTGAACAAAACACAATAAACTGAAAAAGAAAATGAACAAAAAATGTATAGAAAAAAAGGTGCTCACCTGTGGTCTTTTTCTAGTGCTTACTTCCTGATTGAAGTGGTAACAATTAACCATTGAGGTGTTTGGCCAGGTGGCACATATATTGGCCAATTAGCTCATGTAGGGTCTTTTTGAATGGCAGAGTTTTGAAATGGCAAACATGTGACTTTATGTCAGATTGTTGTGTCTTATGCAGAGAACCGTGTTCAGTGCATTTAAAAATTTGTGTAAAGCAGAAAATGGGTTTAGAGTTTTGGAGACTTGAGAAGAGGTTTTGCTCTCTGTGTGTCACTTTAAAGAATTGTGCTATGCATGTCATTTTAGTGTGTTAGCAATTGGAAAAACCTGTAAATAGAGAGGGGAGCGGGCAGAGCAGCATCAGTGTGACAGACTGCCTCGGCCTGACGTCTGCAATGGTAACAGACTCTCACTGAGTGCCATCCAAGGTCTAACTCACTTTCACTCTGACACTCGTCCTTTCACTTTGTGTGTGTCACTGTTCCTCCCCATTGAATCATTAGGCGCCTTACGGTAGCAGTGTATTTACTGAGTGACAAGGTAGTTTATGGGGAATACTTTGTGCTTTGTGGATATGAAAATAAGTCGAGCTGGTGTGAGATATGTGAGACAGTCACAGTAAATTATGTGAATGGGATGTCAAGTTCTTCATCATCATTTAGTCAGCAGAGCTACTGCTTTTCATCGGACACATCAAAAAAGACATTACTGTTTAGTTCATCATAAATAACTGAAAATGATCTGTGGGAAAAGACTTAATGTTCTAAAGGTGCCACAAAACACATATTCAGATTTTGTTTTGTATCACGTGACTGAAGAGTTATGTGAGGCACATAAGAGAAGCTTAGTTGCTGCAGATGAGAAGTACTTTGAATTTGATCTGAAATTAAATGAAAATGAGTCCATGAGTAAGATGTTAAATGAGGTTAAGTCAGGATGAAATCTGGATTTACCTCTCTCAACTGTATCTTATCACTAAAAATAAACATTTAAAACTAGTCCAACCAGAACCGTTTGTGATATAATGAAAAAGACCAAAGGTTTTTCTACAATATTCTTTTTCAGTTTACTGTTTTTTGTGAGCATATTTTTGTTCACTCCAAAGTAAATATATCTGCTGTGCATATGTTGCACTGACTTGCTTGGTGAAAAATAAAAATATAAATGTTTCAACAGAGTGTGTGTATATCTGCAAATAGTTCTGTGCATGTGAACAATCTGAATAATTTTCTACAGTTTGAACTATTTTAGTATTATGTCAAAGCATACTGAAGATGAGAGTGCTTTTCATTATGCCCAACAGTGTGTAGTTGGTTAGACAAACATCTGGTAATATGAATGAAGTGTGTGCCATTTGGTGCAAAAGTTTGATTTTGATGATGCTATATGTAGTTTTGGTTGCAGTGCTTCATTTTGCAGGATATATGAGGGATTTTGCAGTTTGGGTGTGTGGTTTTGGGATATGTGTTTAGTATTTTGATAAAACCAGCCTAGTTTGCAAAACTGTGTTTTAGCATTTCGAAAAAACTGTAATAGCCTTTACATGCTATATACATAGATACAAGAAACATGATGTAAATACAGTGAACACAATGAACCAAAAGACAAGAGACAATGAGACAGCTTGAGAAGACGCTGAAGAAGGAGCCACATGTCTGCCTGCTTCATTTCCTGTTTTCAGGCGCACACATCTGTTTTCAGGCTTTATCAAACTGAGGCCTGAAACAAGTGCAAGATGTAACATTTTTGCACTGTGTGCCAAGTTTCTGTACAAAATGCAATAAACTGTAAAAACGATGCGTTGGCATTAGCTAATAAATTAATGTTTTTTTGATGACTAATGTGTAGGGGAATATCCTAAAAATGTAGCCTGCCCATGTTTTATTGATACTAGTGTATATAAGTGTAACAGCAAAGTTGGCACTTAAATAAACTTAATTGCACTTAATTGTTTCCCTAATTAAGTTGCCTGAATTATGTTCAGAGGCAACTTTTTTTTTCTGTGACTGAAACACTATGTTTATCTACCACTAATTCCTGACACAGCATTGATCTGGGGGTGTAGATGTGGATTGCTGTCAACACCAAAGATAAAGTTGAATCCTTAATATGTTGAGAACCTCAACAGATATTGTGGTTGTGCCACACTGGTGGTTGTTTGTTCCCAAATGTCAGCGTAGCAGTTAATCACTGATATGATTGAATCCGTGTGTGAACCTGATTCGAACACAAGATGGAGCCACAGAGATACTGAGAAACTAACTGTAACCAAACCAGCTGCTGGACCTGGAATTAATCTGGGAGAGTGTCTCATTTTCAATTCAGTTCAATTCAATTCAATTCAATTCAATTCAATTCAATTTTATTTGTATAGCGCCAATTCATAACAGAAGTTATCTCAGGATACTTTTCAAATAGAGTAGGTCTAGACCGAACTCCTTATAACATTATTTACAGAGACCCAACAGTACCACCATGAGCAAGACCTTGGTGATGGCGGCAAGGAAAAACTGCCTGTTAAGAGGCAGAAACCTAGGACAGACTCTAGGTGGATGGTCGTCTGTCTAGACCAGTTGCTATGAGACAGAGGGAGAGAGAGAGAGAGAGAGAGAGAGAGAGAGAGAGAGAGAGAGAGACAGGTGCACAGCAACAACAGTAGCAACAACTACACTAATAGTAGTGACTGACCCTTACTGTCTTACGCTTACTCTCATGTCCCTTAATGGCATCCATGTCTCCTTCACTTGCGTCTTAGTCCCTCCCACCAGGGATGCATGGAGAGACAAGCAAGGAAAGCAAGGAAGCAAGGAAATGAGAAGAAGGAAAGAAGGAAGGAGGAAATATGTTTATAGAGAATTGAGACGTCCTGTCCTCTGAAGCGCCACGTGAAGCGACATCTGTTTCTGATAACAGCTGATGATCTGATTTAATGTCAGTCCGCTTTAACAGCTGTCTGCACACATGTGAACTGAACTAATATTAGTAGAGACACACAGTTATCAGTGCCAGAGCAGCAGCCTGCTACCTGTAACAACAAACACCTGCACATGAACAACAACCTGCATTATAGTGATGAGCAGATCACAGTTAAATCTGCTGCACTGAGATGGATCTGGGTTATAGAAATGATGGAAACATTGTGATTGATAGATAAATCCTCTGTTTCCTCTGGAGAGTTTCTCTGTCAGCAGTTTTTAAGTTTAGCTGTTTAATGATATTTGCTGCAGTGGCATTACTGCACACATGGAAATGACTGAAAGCACCCTCCATCCTAGTAAATTAAGAAAACGACCACAGGCAATACAACACAGAATTCAATTCAATTCAATTCAATTCAATTCAATTTTATTTGTATAGCGCCAATTCATAACAGAAGTTATCTCAGGACACTTTTCAAATAGAGCAGGTCTAGACCGATCTCTTTATAACATTATTTACAGAGACCCAACAGTACCACCATGAGCAAGCACTTGGTGACAGCGGCAAGAAAAAACCTCCTAGATAGATAGATAGATAGATAGATAGATAGATAGATAGATAGATAGATAGATAGATAGATAGATAGATAGATAGATAGATAGATAGATAGATAGATAGATAGATAGATCACCCGAAAGCTCAGGCAGCCTGACAGAAGAGGCACACTAATCATTTCTACTGGCAGAATTATTTGTTCACCAACTGCATCTGTATTTGAGATTGAAATGATATGAAATATTCATATGAAACCAGACTCAGGAATTATCAGCCTCATGTGACTGAATGGAAATGATGATGAGAAACAATGCTGACAGACAAGACTCTCTATTGTCTCTTTTTATTTTCAATGGCTTCAAGCGAGGAAATGTCAAATAAGAGATTTTAGATAAGAGATGTGAAATAATGTTGTGTTGGTTTTTGTGTGTCATATACAAACAAAAGTTCATACAGTTTTCCACTCTTTCTCCCAGTCTTTAGAAGTTACAATGCTTGACTTGTCCAAGACACATCTGACACATCTTATCTCAGTTTGCAGAAACATGTGAACCAGAAAGTCTTGCTGGGTTCGGCCAGAGCTGATCTGTCTAAGGTGCTGAAACAACCTCAGCTGACCTCTGCAGCTTTCTGTCTTTGGCATCATGTCAAGTCAGTGGTTGGATTAAGACTTCTGTTGGCCCCAGGAGGTTAACCCTCGAAGGAATTTTTTAAAGGCATCACCCAGTGGATATTAACCACTCACAAATCATCCATGTGTGTAAAGAAACTCATATATATATCCGTAGATATCTCTGACAATCAGGAGTTCTTTCTTTTCACTGTATTTTAGCTCAGACAACTTGTGGTGCATGAGCTACTGTATGTGTGACATTTGAACCAGTCATGGCAGGGTAAACAAACACTGACACACATTGAATACAGTCACTACTTCACAATGGAAAATTCCTCAGCATTGTTCTGTCCCGCCGGTCTGAATCCACTGTAATGCCTGTCTTTGAACTCTATACTCCCTTTGTGGTGTGTACACAGACTCTTAGGGAGGAGGGCGTAAGAACTAAAAAGGAATAGGTTTTGAGGTACAAGGCAGTGAAAACAGCACTTCAGTAAAAAGGCAGCTCAGCCACCAAAATAATAGACATTTCATGAGAACGGTAGAGCCAGGTTCAGCGCCTCCCTTTATGTTTTTTCCAGCCCTCTACGTCAGCGTGGGTTTTGAGAGATAGTCTGACGTCAGATATCAGGCATATCAATAACACAACACTAAAAGAATGTTTTAGTTACATTCCCCACAACAACAGTGTTTACTTTTGAGTTGCAGCCAGGTACGCATTACTGAAGAGGAGGGACTGCTAGGTTTGCAATGGAAATGTATGACGTGTGTTTCTAAAAGGCAACACATTACTTACTTTCATTTCTATGGGCACCAGAAAAGGGAATTTTTAAGCAGTTTGTGCTTACCACAAAGTGTGGACATGTCCTATGAGGAGATCGAGGGCAGGGAAACAAGGCCAACAGGGTTGGAGACCGGGCTCAGAGCAGAGCAGACGGAACTGCAGGGAAAGCAGAAGCAGAATTAGGCTTCGTGGAGTTGGCTGGTTTAAAAATGGCACCTAATTAGAATGAACAACAAGCTAGATGGTCCAAAAATAAAATTTGAACATTATAACAACAGATACAACAACAGATAGTAGCTAGTTATTCTAAATATGACTGTCATTTATTTTCCAGTGTTCAGTCTGTATGTCACTTTTGGCACAAGATGCCCAAGATGATTCTCGCTCGTGCCTGCAGATTGTGTACGGGACAAGACTTCACTCAGCAGCCACCAGTGAGAGATGCATGTTCCAGTGAAGTCTAACAGGTTTAACTCAAAAACATAGTATTGTGACACATAAAGCATTGAATAGAAATTAATAAAGGTGGCATTAGAAATCAATAAATTGCTTAATTTCCAAAACTTCAGGCATTTTTTAGGCAAGGTGGCAATAAAAAGCTGTGTAACGTAAGATTTAAGAGACTCACACAGCCTAACCCACAAAGTAATTAAAATAATGAAATACCTTTGTATGAAACAAAGCAGAAATGCCCAGATGCTCTAGAGCTGGAAGTAGATGGTGGGGAGACGTGCAAGTGTGCAGACCTTGATTAAACAGAGTATAAATGCAGCTATTTATTCATTGGTGTGACATTCTTCCAATTCAGGCCAGGTAGGTTCCAAATCTAGTGCCAAATAACCTGACAGCATCTTTTTCACTAGCACCTTCCCTGGGTAGCTGAGAGCCTGCACTAAAAAAGAAATCCTATAGTTGGTGTTTTTTGCCTTTTAATGGATAGGACAGCTGAAGATAGACAGGAAGGGTAAAGCGGGAGAGGTTCCGATGGGGGCAGTGTAGCTCTTTATTTCTTTTCCTTTCCCTATACTTTGTGGACTGGTTTTCACTAGGAGGAGGTGTGCTTAAGCTTCAAAACTGCATCACTGAGGTGCACACTGGTGTTATTGGGCGTGATAAGGTTCAGGTGAGTCTGAGCGGGACAGTTGAATGAGACTGCCAGATGAGCCAACAACGTCAGCCACTCTGTAGGTGCCACTCCTCGGACACCACAGCTTCCTACCCTTTTCCAGCTCCTGCACCCTTTTTGTGGATCCATCAACCAACAATCAAGAAAAAAACACAACTGAACTGAAGTATCAGGGCACGGGAGCTGAGCCTTGCACAGGCATGGGACCCAGCAACTGTTAACCTGCTGACTCTGTAAGCTAACCCAACTCCAGGTTGTCTCCTGATCCTTGACAACCAGTTCACCTAGAGTTACTTCTGTTTCTTTCTCCTCTACATTCTCCAGGTTAGGACTAACCAGATGAAACATGCTTAGACTTAGTCCTTAACACTAATACAGACATTTAGAAAGTTAAACTTCAGAAATAGAAGGAAAATCCAATGTTGGAAGATTAAAATGCGGGTTTTACTCTCATAGTTTCCGCCATTGGTTCTATCATTTATGCTAAAACTGTACTAACAAAAGGAGCTAGATCCACTCTCACTAGAGTAGGAGGGAAACAGTGAGTGTACCTTTGGTGATGATGTGAAGTTGAAAGAGGTAGAGCCAGCCCTGATGAAGACGATGGAAAAGATGTTCCCCAAGAGTTCGACTGAATTACATTATTTGTTGATCTGATTGGTTGAAGTTTTTTCCAAACCGGTATGTGTAACAAATCATTAATTATAATGTTCCATGCATCTTTTTGAACCACTGTGAAATACTTTCTCTTAAAGCACCTGTGAAACATTAATTCTAGTGTGTCAGTTCCTATCTCTTAGGTAAACCACACTAAATTCATTTTGTACCTCTTCCTGGTCATTTTACATGTCTTTGTGGTCATTTGACATTATGGAGCTAGAAAATTTAAAAATAGTTTGCAACAGGAACAAATTCAGTTTACTGCATCATTATTGTTTCAGTGATTTCTGCAGTCTTCTGCAAATTGTCTGCTCAGAAGTGAACTTTATGTTTGTTGTTTGTTTGACTCTTTAAGCAAACACAGTTGCATGCAACACAGGCTCCGAGCCAGAGAAGTGATTGGAAACATTTCAACAGCAATTTCTACATCTGCAGCTCTGATAGCTTTCTCACATCCAATTCAAATTGATAGACCATATGTTAGACAATCAAATAGGACACATGCAAATAACATGTTTGACGTAATTTGTAGGCTATAAAGCAGCACTGCAAACTATTAAAGAAATATAGGCAAATGCATCTATATTTATTCTGTTTTTGCTGACGTGGGCACTTAACTAATAAGAAACTACAGCACTGTAAAATAATAAAAGATACTTTGCTGGACTATAGCAGCAAGATATCTTCAAGCTCCAGTGTAAAGGGTTAGAGTCAGTTATAATATTCAGTGGTATGTTAACATTAGTGTATATTAGTGAATATAGGAATCATTACGTATTTGTTACCTTAGAATGAGCCTTTTATATCTACAGGACGCTTTCTGGTAAAGGAAACCATTCACAGCTTCAGTGGAAAATTCAGTTTCTATTTGACTGCACATGAGAGATATATGTGTTTTAATAATCACAGAGATAAGGTTTCCCAACTTCTGCTAACAGGACTCTTTGTTGACACACACAAGCTCCTCAATAGCCGGTATCAGATTATTTATGTGTATCTAAATAAATGTGTGTTTGCACAATCTTTGTTTAGCTGCCAGAGCTGATTATTGCTAAGCCAACACAGGCCTCAACAGAGAAGGTAATAGTATTAATTGCATTCTTAAATCATGAATGACAGAGATATACTAGGCAAACTAGACCATGCTGATTAAATATGAAGAACGATTCTGTTGCTGTAGACAAAGAAAGGCCTGTAAAGCAGCATTCCAAGCAAACCTGGCGCGTTTCTTTGTGGTGCACAACCACGGGACTGTGTATGCTCTGAGCATAACTGTGAATGAATCTGTCTCCTGAATGATCCTTATGGAGAGCCAAACGTCCTTATGTGACCTCAGGGGAGCATTCGGGATTCTGTGACTTGCTCAGGGACACATATCTACAGGAGGAGCAGGTGATCAAACCACTAACCCTACAAAGGGTAACTTCTGTTTGTACAGCTACACTTACACTCCTATGAAAAGTTTAGGGTTTCTAAAATACTCCTTCCGCCAAACACTGTATGAGCTGTCCAATATATATATATATATATATATATATATATATATCTCACAGAAAATAGTTTCTGATCCAACCCACATTCTCCATCCAGAGTTCCAGCTCTTACCCTCTAGATCAGTGGTTCTCAACCTGGGGTTCGGGAATCCAAAAAGGGTCATCTCTTTAATGACATTCAACACAGGAGACTCAAATCGATATATACTAGGCTACATACTCTGAGAATGTATTTCTATGATGTGCTTTTATTGTGCTGTTGTGCAACCTATGTGCAAACTGTTACATGGAAGCTGTGTATTGCTGAGATATTTACATCTGTTCTGTTGTTATGCAAAAAGTGTTTTTCTGTGGAACTGCATGACGGAATCCAAAACAAATGTCCAGATAGCCTCCCTGTGGACATCAGATAATAAGACTCTGTTGAGGCCTTGCACCTGTTACCATCCTTTCAGTTTGTTGGTCTCAGTCCTCCTCAGTACCCCAGTGTGAGTTTCTCTTCCTCTCTCTTTTTAGCACTCTCTCTCTCTCTCTTTCTCTGTGTGGCCCGTCCTCTTCCAGGTCCCCCTGGTATACAGGAGGTTGTTTGGCTCAGTTCATACTTTTCTTCCATTTCTTTCCTGCTAAAAATGCTTTTTTGGGGTTTTTCCTTTTTAGGACAGATGGTGTTTGTATGCTGTACCGGTCGTAAACTCCTCAAAATGTAATTTTTGGCTATATAAATAGCATTTGACCTCAGAAAGTGAACATTAATGAACTAAATAAGGGCTTGTGCCAACATAGAATTTTCCTCCTCTGTCGGAAAAGTGCTGGCAGGCTGCTGAGATGAAGTCCTCGTGGTGTGAGAAAAAAAAGCTGAATGTAGCATTTGTTTCTGTGAACCACTACTAACAGCCATTTTAGGCTAACCAAGGGGAAATTTTGATTTACTCCTCCAGATGTTTTGTGGTACAATCTCCAGAGTACAGTCAACATTTGTGCATCTGTGTATGGTGAGTTAATATATGATTGGTTGCACCCACCTAGAGTCTAGGATCTGTCCTAGGTTTCTGCCTCTTAACAGGCAGTTTTTCCTTGCCCCTGTTGCCAAGGTCTTGCTCATGGTGGTACTGTTGGGTCTCTGTAAATAATGTTTTAAAGAGTTCGGTCTAGACCTACTCTATTTGAAAAGTGTCCTGAGATAACTTCTGTTATGAAATGCCACTATACAAATGAAATTGAATTGAATTGAATTGAATTGAATTGAATTGAATTGAATTGAATTGAATTGAATTGAATGACAAGAATCAACAGTGAGGATTCCAGCGCATTTCAGAAAGCCTCAACTACAAGTGGTTGGAGTTTGTGCAGAAAAGATGGACTGGTCTCACTGAGAACTTATTGAAATATAGGCAGAGTGAGGAAGGTAGATCAGGTCTGATGCTTGATCAGTCAGTCTTATATTCTTTTTTTATTATTTATTTTATTAATATTTGCTGTGAATGTAGTTGCTTGTTGGGACAACTAAAGACAACTTGACATTTGATCTACAGTTGAGTAACAGGAAAGAGCTGTTTCAAGTGTTTCCAGTTCTATGTGTTCCATAGCTCTGGTTTCCAGAAAATGTTTTTGAGTAATACTTGGACGTTGAGTACATCATGTTTCCTGCTTGAGGAAGTGTATTTGCATGATGCTATTAAACAGTAGCCTTTATCTGAACCTAACATTGTTTGATACAACACAGGCCTCCATTCAACCTCCTGGGTTGTGTGTTGTTCATTATTAACTCATATATTTACATGCCTACATTATATCTATGTTTAGCTTTATTTGCATGCCCATCCTGCCTGACAATACACACAAGCTTACCTTGTCTTTTGACATCTAAACCTTTCCATTTCTGCAAGATTTGTAAAACAAAATCATAATCATACAAGGCAGGCTTTGTAACCTGACACTTCCCAGTGACCACTCTGATCCCTCTGTCAGTGGTGGTTGCTGATACAGCTCACTCCACCATTTCAAACTCCTCTCTAATGTTTAACTATTTGAAGAACTGTCCTGACATCCAGCAGTCAGCTTGCCAACACACGTCCATCCATCTCCACCAAAGCCCAGCCAGACATGGGTGGTCTCAAGGCAATCCTCTAGAGTGGCTCTGCCAGTCTGATCATCCTCCAGCCCGTCCTTCAGATCTGCTCTGCTCAGGGCTGGGTATTGTTAAACCAGTACCGATACCTTGACTTTGATACCAGCTCCTGAACAATACTTTTTCAATACCAGTTTTATAGAATTAATTTTAACAAAAAGAAAATACAGGAGGAGGAGGTTCCTGTTCAAAGACTGTGACTGTGTGGGTCAGAGGGAAGTAATTTGGTACCAAATGACAAGACATTTTTCAATACTGTAGTATCGATACAATTCGGTCTGTGCCATAAAAGTCACTCGACACCATAACCACCAGGCCATCCACCTGAGGTTTCTTGCTCTCCCCCGTCCTGTCCCCTGAGTCTGCCTGAGATCCCTGGCTGTGTGTTTTTATCTTGCTTTATGTCCAAAATGTGTAATTTCAAAGTCATCTGCTACACAGCTTCATATCCATGTGACATTTTGTCTGCGGAAAAAAAAATGGAACTAAATGATTTATCACAGTATGTTGATTCCAGAGGTGCTGTTTGACTATAAGTCATAAATGTTTTTCCCCTCAAGATCTTGTGATATACCATGACCTGGGTCTGTCGTGCCTTGTGACCTTTGTGTACTGAACTAGATGGCTGGAGAGTATTGACATTAAGGTTTCCACTTCCACAATATTATAAACTAGTGACACAAAGTTTGCACATTCATGTGCCACAAAGAATTAACGCTTTTACAGCCTTATTTCAACACACTTTTTGCGATATTAGCGACAGTAAAGACAGGACTCGAGGGGAGACAGAGATGGGTCACAACATGCAATAAATGTCAGTGAACTGAACCAGGGATGGCAGAGTTCATTGTCAGGATCTTAACCCCTAGGTCTCCAGTGTGCCCTGAGAATGAATATTTTGATTTTAATGACCCCAGGGTCTTCTCTGGCGAGGCTCTATGAACCAATCTCTGTATGTATCTGTATCAAAGAATCTTGGTTCTAGTCATTGTCACCTCAGAGCTCCTTTTCACACTTTAAAACTGCAAAATCATAATACATGACATCTCGATCAGCATGATTGAGCTTGTTACCAAAATAGTGCACACCAAAAGTTCACAAGGTTTACCACTCCCTGAGGTATGACAACTGTTTTTTTTTTTCTCAAGGTCTTGTGATAGCCTCATAACATACCCTGCCTATCAACCACTGTGTGCTATAATGAAAGGATTAAGAGAGCGTAGTATTGCTTATTTTGTCTACCTATTTACTGACCTAATATTCTTAACCAAGGGTGATAAAAGGTGGAAGGTGGAAGCCTGTACAACTTAAAAGAGAACATTGTGCTGCTGTTCCTATTGGGGAAGCAGGAAGTCTGAATCTTTATTGTTCATACTTATTTTCAAGGCAAGCTTCTTCCTCTATCATGGTTTAGAGTTTTAGAGGTTTGTGTGTGTGTGTGTGTGTGTGTGTGTGTGTGTGTGTGTGTGTGTGTGTGGGTGTGTGTGAGAGAGAGAGAGAGAGAGAGAGAGAGACACTTGAGTTTTTCTTGGTATTAGTACAGCCCTTTGTGCAGACAGAAGGTTATAGTAGGTTCTGGCATTAGAGCTTCCTTCTGAACAACATATGAGTCATGAGTCGCTAACTTACAAATATTATAAACAACACCACATCCTTCAGGACTTTGCACTTTATGAATCTCATCAATATCAAGCAATTATTTAACAAACAAGTAGTATCTGTAGTGACATCAGTAAATTAAATACTACCCAAAATCAAGAAACTTGTGTCATGGTGGGAGCTAGATGCTGCCATGGTAAACAGAAAGATTTAAAACACATTCTTCTATCAAAAAAATATGCAGAGGAGGTGGAGTATATTTCAGCCCTGAGTTGTGCCTGCAGGTCTCTTACACTGCTTTGACACCCAACCTGTATGTAGCCTGAGAGGCAAAGCCTGGGACAAAAAAACATCTTAAAAAGCACTTGGTGCTGCTTCTTAATCTCATTGCTTTGACAACAACAGGCCAATGTTCATAGAGAGCTCCTGCAACTTCTACATTTCTTCACTACAGATTTAGTCTAATCAGTTGATCCTTTCCTTTAAATCATTGCCGTTGCACACCTGAACAGAAGCCACTGAAGGCTATAATTGGGTGGTGCATATATTTTTAGCATGGGTGGTAATTTTACAAGTAGAGCAGTTTGAGCAGGTTCACCAGCTTACTCACATTCTTGAAATTCAAGTGCTTCCAGTAACTGCTCATTACTCCTCATGTCATCCTTCAGGTGGCTTAAGTTCATTTCCCTTAAAAGCCCCAGTTCCTGTAAGTCAGTGCTGGGTCAGCTTTCCATACCGTTGTGTGAGCAAGAAATTCAAAAGTCAAATAATTAATAAAGGCAAAAAAGAGAAACGTGCCATCCAGTGTTCAGCTAGAATGTTTATTCAAAGTTACATAGTAACATAGCTATAAATATTATATTCAGTTTCTGCTTAAATGTTGCACACTGGACCCACTGGAGAAACTGAAAGAGGAAGGGTGGTTTTGGGCAGGGATAATGATAGAGACTTGGTACACTGCTCACGTGGAGTTCTCATCATTAAGCTGTAGGCGGATCTATTTGAACAGAATACAGGGTGTAAGTTTGCTTTGTCAAACCTCCCACTACAAGTAAAGTCATACATCATAAGGCATGTGTCATCAGCCACGGGCAGCTTTGGCTCAGAGGCAGAGCGAGTCGTTCCTTAATTAGAAGGTTGTGGGTTTGATCCCCAGTTCCTGGTGCCACATGTCAAAGTATCCTTGAGCAAGATACTGAACCCCAAAATGCCGTGTATGAAAGGGTGAATGTGGCATGTGGAGTAAAAGTACTTTGAGTGGTCGGAAGACTCCATTTACCAGGTCTTCAGAAGAATAAAAAAAGAATCTAACACCACATGGCCTTTTTGAAAAAAAAACACACATATGGATTCCCTCCAAAAACTGTTTCAGTTTGAAATCCTGCAGCGTCAGCAAGTCAAAGATATAACAGTTTGCTTCCAAATGTTTCCCAGCCACTCACAGAAACAGATCATACACGTTGTGAAACTGTGGTTTAATACAGCTTTAAAATAGGCCATAATTAACTCTATATTTAATGTCACTTATTTAAATACTGACTAAACTAGTTTTTTCATTTTGGTATTTCCATCTTTTGTGAACTAGCTTCTCGTTTATTCAGTTTATTTCTTCTTTCACTCTTTTATTTTTATTGCATCTTGTTTGTTGCAGCGGGCTTTAGAAGAGAGATAGGGTGCAGCTTGGACAGGGTGCCAGTGTCACAAATCAGAGCCTAAAAGCACACTCAGTAAGCTGGTGGCTGCCTGACATTTGGGCTGAGATGAAGTAAGGTATACAGGGGGGAAAAACAATGGATATGGGCAATGAGAGCTGGGGGCTGGCTCGACAAACTGGTGTGGGGAACTGGTGGACAGGTGATCCTGCAGAGAAAGTAACACACTGTTAGCATTCGGCTAACTTTAGTGAACTGAAGTGAGGCACAAAAACAAACTTTATGGCTCAACGGCTCAACATTTGGGTAGCAGGCAGATGTGCTTGGTCAGAGAGGGCGAGGGGGGAAGGGAACAAGCAAACAGACAGACAAAAAACAAAACTCACCAAGTACACCTCACTAGCACTGAAAGGCTGGAAATAAGAGCCTGTGTATAATACAGGAGTTTTAGTGTTCCATTGCTCTATTGGCTTAAATCAGTCTATGTGCCTCTTTTTGTGTAAAGCATTGCAACATACATTAAGCATACCCTAAAAGAGGATGTGGTTTAAAGAATGTCTTAAAATGTGTTTTTTGCTGAGTAAGGAGGATTTTTAACAGGAATGTACATTTGTTACATATGTTTTCATCTTGGGTGCTTATGTCAAATGTAAGTCATCATGTATGAGGGATTTAAACACCCACATTATGACAGTAAATGGAAACGCCTTTTATTACCTGAAACCTGCCCTTAAGACGCTATTAGATTTCACTCTGTAATTTACACTGTAGGGTAGGCCTTTACAGGCCCAGTGTGTACCTAGCCTGTGGTCCTTAAACATCACTTTAACAAATCAGTCTCTGTTTCAGTCATGAGGTCGTGACCCAGTCGTCATTGGTTATTGATGTTTGAGCCTTCCTGGAGGCTTAGCTGTATATACAGTGGTTAATGTAAAAACAAGATACCTGTGAAGTTCTGGGTGGATTTCCCCTAATCATTTCCTGGTCTAACCAAGCAGACCCCTTGTTGCAGGTCGTTGGTGGAATACAGGAAGCACTTGTGTTGCTTTTTCACAGAGATACCCCCCATTTCTGTCAGTGTCTCAAACATGATAAATCTCCTCCATCAGGCAAGTTGATCATCCACACATGCTTTCGTCGTCCACATTTTTGTTTTGTTGATCATCATTGTTATCGTGACAGAGTTTCTCTGAAGAATAAAACGCTTTTGTCAGCAATATCTGACCTGCATGCTCAGCAACATGTTTGTCAAAGGCAATATTACCAACACCGACCCAACTCATTTCTAGTCCCAGACTCTTACCATATAACTGCATCCATCATTGTTTTGTTATATGCTTTTGTTCTATTGTATGTCCATTATGTCAATCTTGTTTAAATAAAAAAAGTCATCTGGACTTTTACACTTTGCACAGCCTTGTTCATACACATGGTGTTGGGTTAACCTCAAAATGCTTTATAAACTGCAGTCTCTTTCTTTATCTGTAACTAAAATAGCTTTTTAACTCCAAGTCACATATTTGAAGGGCTTTTGGCTCCTAAAACGAAAAATAACTTTGCTCCAATAAGCATCTTTCCCCAGAAAAGGCAGGTCACTGCATTTGAATTAGAAAGCCAACAACCCCTACATTTTTAGAAACCTATTGAAAAGAGCTTAGTGTCAATCTCTTGTGGGAACCAGTAGCACTTCCAGTAGTTATTATTATTCCCTCAACATTTTTGTGTATGTTTATAATAACGCAGGCTATGGTTTCCCATTTCTCAGAATACCCTTTGATAAACCTTCAGAGAACTGCAGTGTTGTCTATTTCAGTTCTAGAAACTCGGCTCTCTGTGTCTTCCTTCATGAATTTTTCCATGAATGATTTTTTGAATGTATTTGCAAAATGCAATGAAGCAGTAAAAAAAAAAGTCCGGTGTGTATGATTTAGTGGCATCTTGCATTGAAGTTGCAGATAACAACAAACTGAACACCACTTGTCTGTATTTTGATGACCTGGGAATGAGAACAGCCTGTGAAGTGTGCAGGAGAAACTATGGTGGCTGTGAAAAACATCATGTGAGACCAAAAGCCTATAATAAAATAAAGTATAACATACTAACAAGCATCATAGCAACATCTCTCCCACAAGTTCACATTGGCTTCCACCTTTGACCTTTAAATTTAAAGTGACAGGGCTTATTGTGTGTTTGCTTTGCTATTATCAGATTACAGTATGTACTTTATAGTTTAAGATTTATGCGACAGTATTTATTGTGGAACAAATTACCCAGTGTTTACTTATTCTACTGTGGCACTGTATATATTTATATCTCAGTCTGTGAGAAGAAATTTAGCCTTGAATGAATAATCAGTTTCTGTTGGTCTGAAAGTGACGTGTCCCCTTTATCTCACTGTAACACTTTGTCAACACCACAAAAAATCCCTGTCTTAATCATTATAAAGAAATGTTCTAGTATTAACCAAACTAATTTGCCACTGGGAAAAGACAAATATATATATGTGTATATATATATAAATTGTTACAGGATTTAAAGCCAGGCAAGGCCTATTATGACACATTATCTGAAACTTTAGAAATGTTGACTTTGAATTGAAATTGACATGGGTTCTTCTTTGCACCTAATGGAGAGGAGCTTCACAAGGAAGATGTTATGCTGCAATCCATTGCAAGTCGGAAGTCAGTAGACCCGAGTGGGTTTTCCTGACTTCTGATCTAAATGCATCACAGTGCATCTGCTAGAGTAAACATGTATATTTTGACAGTTCTGTTGCACTTTACTGTGCCTGAAGTGGTTTTTTAAGAGTTCTGTGTACAGTGGTGTGCAGCATAAGGCCAGGTTCACACATCTTCCTCATTCATTTCAATGAGAGCACTGCAAATGTACAGACTCAGGGTGAGAGGGGTGATGCTTCAGCAAAATCCTGCAAACTGATGGATCTTTTACTGTGAAACACCCAGACACACGGCCAAGTGTGAGAGACAGAAAATATGGGGGTTTAAAATAAAAAATATGGCAAGTTTTGGATGACTTCCCTGGCCAGAATTGACCTAAGAGCATTATTTGTCTGTGCCTTTCTAAACTGTTGCAAATCAATGTTGAAAAGCTGTTCTTTATGATGTGACAATGCTGTGGTTAAAGTTAGGTTAAATGGATTTCTTCATTATGGTTAAGGGACCTCCATTATCAGTTATAACCACGCAGTGAATCACTGTAAAATAACGGTTACTAACAGTAAGAAAACGGGAAATGAACAACTCATTATTGACTTATCCATCTTCTGCCTACGCACACTTTGATGCTCCATGACAATACAACCAACTTCCCCCTTTACTCCAGCCATAATTACTACTCCCGTGGGAGGACATTGTCACTTGAAGGTAAACAAACCAGTGCAGTGATTGCTACAAATGTTCTCTGCCGTTCTCTGCATTAAAGCCCAGTCTGTACTTGGTTGGTTGCAATAGTCTGTTCATAGTTATTAGGGGTGGGAATGTCTCCTATCTAAGACAATCCGATACGTATCTAGATATATGAGCTATGATACGATTCAGGGGCGATGCATTTAAATATGGACCAATTCGTTGTGACATTGCATACCTTCAAACACATATATTTACATATAAAATACCAGGAAATCTTTCCTTTCAACTTCCTGTTTATAGACTCTAAAAGTCTTCCAAACTTTAGATTTTACATTTGATGGTCGAACAAGTTTGTTATGAACCAACCTTGCGAGCCACACTGCGCTAACGTTAACTCTTGACATTCTTGTTGCGAGACCCTCGTGTTGACCTTTAATCTTACACAAGACTGGAGACACTGTTAGCAGCAAAGCTTCAGTCAATGATTCATAACTTTAGAATTTCACCATTGACCGGTTCATGTTACATTTAGAGCCATCCACCAGTCCGTGTACTGATGTAGTTACATTTATAACGCTAAAACCAATTTCCGACTTGTATCAGTAAATCTTTAAACCCCTAATAGTTATGGTGTAGTGTACTTGGAGCGTGTAGGAACTGTGATTGGTCAGCTTGGGCTGATTTTGTCTTTTGTCCACCAATGATATACAGCAAAGAAATCTCCGTCTCTGCAAACCTTGTGTTCCCTGTGATCGCTGCTCTCGCAGTGAATGATTGAATGTAAACAGGAATACTTCCTAATTAATGATTAAACAGCAATAGTCCTCCATTCAGTAGTAAAAAAGAGGGACCTTCTCATCACATCAAAGTGACTAAAAGAATGTAAACACTCAAAGAATGTGTTTATGCTGGTGATATGAACATGGGAAACCCGGTGCAGAACTACATAAATCAAATTCTACATCGGCGGCCTCTACGTCAGAACCTGAAAACATTCCATAATACTTCGCCCTTTAGAAATACGACAGTCAAATTGTTTCAGTTCTTTAACAGAATGTCTCTTTTCTTCAAGTACCTTAAGTCAAACAAATAACTTCTGCAGAGACAACTTAACCAATTTCAACAAAAGACAGAAGATCAGTCGTGTGTCTGTAATGTAAGTGTGACAACCATGCAATGCACTTGTTAGATGTTAACACGTTAACAATTATGAAGTTTTTCTTAGATTATTGATAAATCCTAAATGTTTTCTTGCTGTAAAACAGTTTCCAGTGTTGCTAAACTTATTTCAAGTTATTGATGATGTTCTTGATTGTGGTTCAGACCTTCATCATTTCGCATGATTTGCAGTGCAACTACTTTATTTGGGAAGGTGTTAAAATTGTAATGGACGGTTCGATATGGGGTGGTTGGATCATTCTTGATGAGAAGAAAGAACACGATGGAGACAGAACTTTCTCAAGCAGCAATTCAAGCATCCTCATTGTGACTGAACTATCCAATCAGGAGCTAGATGGACTTAGCCTGAGGTAAAAATGTCAGGGAACACCAGAGGTAGATTCAGCAGAATATTGTAATTGTTTTAATGGTGCAGATGTAGAGATTTAAACATGTAAATATGTAAATAATAACCGTGTAACATAAATATGTAAATAGTTTACTCAAATATGTGAATTAACTTCAAAACCGTACAAAATGATTTCAACCCACTGACAGAATCTTCCAGCTTGTTAAGAAAATGGTCCAAATGACTCGATATGATGGACATGTTTAGAGTGCATCTTTTCTAAAACTTTCTCTGCCTCAGTCATTTATTATGCACCATATGGCCTCAAACCTGCTTATTTAGTAGTTCTTTGAGGAAGTAAAATTACTGGAGCTCTTTAATGCTAAAGGAAACAAGAAGTAACATTTGAGCTGGGTGTCTCTACGTGGTGCAAGCTCACCAGCTTATTTTTCTGTGGTTGCTTTTTGAGGGGGGGGACCATATCAGAGTCATATCACAGGCTGAAACATGTGGGTTTTCTCATTGTTAAGTGTTACACAGAAAAGGGGGAAAGATTGTTGGGAGTTTAGTGATGATTAATCTCAGACAGAGAAACAAATGCTTGCTTCCCACAGCTTCTCCTTTCTTGTGGTCTTCAGGGCTTTCCCAACCATTTGTTTACAGAAACTTAAAGGGCTTTTCCACCTATTACTTATTGACAGCATTATCACATATGTTATGATGTTAATGTGCAGCGCCTGACATGAAAGGTATTCCCGTAAAATAAATCTGTAAGGTTTTGCTTCACTTTTTAAATAATTGCCAGAATGGTTTTGTTTAATTAGATGAACAAAATACAATTTCCCCATAACAACATTTTTTAATTATTACAAAAGTGTATCGTGTGCTCTTGAGAATAGACAATGCTGTGTATTAACTTGTTTTTCTAAATGATCAAGTTATTATGTGAGAATTCAGCAATGCTGTGGTACTGAGTAACAGTACAGTAAATGTGGGAACAGTTAGTAGATCATATCAGAGGACCTGAGGGACTAAGAATGTTCATATGATAAAAGCCACTCAGAGATGTACTGTTTTCTTCAGTCATTGAGTGATTTAAAGATAAAGAGTTATTAAGCTCTATTCAATGAAACACTGGGAACTAGTGCAGAGACCTGAGCATGAATGTGATGTGCTCACTTTTCTTTGTCCTTGTTTGGACTTGCTGCAGAGTTTCAAGCAGGGTTTGGACTACATAGTGGCTTTTTGGGAGCTCTATTTTCTTTCATGTTACTAACATGTCACGTGTATGGAAGTGCCCTACTGTTACTCCAGACACTGTCAATAAAAATGTAATTAACAACAATGTAAAGGTTACTGTTTCTTAATCAAAGAATGCATTTATTAATTATATATATTATTTATTATAAGACAAAAAAAACCAAAAACACAGGCAACGCTTTTCTGCTTCTGCACAGGCCTGCAAGAATCACAACTCACACGGCAGAACCATAAAGCCAAACATTTGCTAAACACTGTTTTGGAAAATGTTTGATTTTTAAGGCTTTTACAGAGCCTGGTATCACGTATTACACACACTGTTTTTTGAAATAACATTTCATCTTCATTGCCATATCTTATTATTATTTATTTCATTTTAACTTACAGATTATGTTTTAGACCTCCTCATAAATGTCTCAAAGTAGGCTTTCAGGGCTCCCCTTAGCCCTCAGTAATTTGGACCATGGTCTGAAGACATTTTCTGTTTCTGTTTTGTCTGTGTTTGAAGGTATCATCGGCACATCAATCATTGATTTGTTCTGTGAGCTTGCAGAGATAATTGGTTGTCATCTACACAATATGATAGGAGATTAAATATTTGGAATAATTTGACTTTATGGAAGCATGGGAAATAGAAGAGGGCCAAGGATGCTTTGGGGACCTCCATATGTCGTGTTTGTTCTCTCAGATGCATAGTTGCCAAATGTGAAAAAGATTAAGAATATTGTCCACCAAACCCAACTTGACCTAATTTGTATGTGTATGTTTGTCTTGTCTTGTTATGTCATCCCCAATGTTTCTTATGCATACAATTCATAAATAAATAATGAGAAAAACGATAACCACTTATAACATTTCTGATCATTTTTATTGAAGCTTCATTCAAAGAAGCCACAAATGCTTCAGCTACACTTGCATACAATTCTATTCATTCTTTACATATAAAAATAATGGATGGCAAACACAAGAGCTCTAACCCTCTTTAGGACAAAACTTACCTCGTTCTTAAATAAATAAATTAAAGATCTCACATAACATGTTTGTAACACAAAGTTTTGGTATTAGCAGGACCAGTGCCACATCGGTGTTTAGCTGCAGACATAGGACGAGGTAGATATACTGTAGGCAAACACATTTTATAAAACCTGTGTTTTTTTTTTGTTTTTGTTTTTTTTAAGTTTAAGTGCCAATTGTTCTGGTTCTCTCTCTGTTTTCACTCCCAGAAATAAAATATCTGAATTTGAGTTTTGCGTACCCATGCAGCCAATTGGACAGCAAAGAGTACAATTAGATACCAAAAAGTGCACCTATAATTTCATAAATGTACTTCAATCAGTACATCTCTGAGGTGGGTACACTCAAGAACAAAAAACACAGATATTTTTGCAGTGAACAGACTTCTCTTTAGTTTTTCTCGTTATTAGATCTGCATTATTTTACATCGCATTGTATTACTCCTGTCAATCACCTGACCTGAAATGAAGTGTCCTCCAAAACATTTTGCCTTGCATACTTTATTATAACATGTATTAATTTTTTTGTTTTTGGTTACACAGGACTGGTCATTTCAAGCTAGGTGACACAAATCAAGTTTGAATTGTTTGGTCCATTTTAGAAGAAAACCCAGCAAAAACTAAAGCTCACTAAAAAAGGATGGAATTGTAATTAGCTAGATGCAGATATAAGTAAATTAACTATTCCTCTAATTGACTGGTAATTTTCTTTAACAAATGCAAAAAGTACAAAAGCCTGTATTGTCAGTGCATCTTCAATAGGGCAGCATTATTTTAAATTATCACTGAACTGGTCAAACTCTTTGGTACCTAGAACAAGATATTTCCTACTGAAACCTACTCCGCCATGAAAACTGCATGCACCTCGTTCCTTGAAGCACACAGCTCAGCTAGATTAGAGTCGATTCTCTGCAGCTTGTGGTGTAGTCTCTCACCGATGCTGTTCATTCCTGCTTTGGTCAATATATCTGGAAGTTGTCGAATTTGCTCCGCTGCTGCTGAAGCGACCCAAGCATTGAGCTGTTCATTTAAAGCAGAGGTGCTCAGTCCTGAAGTTCCTGCGTGTCTACTGCCGTCCTTAGACGGGAGCTTTTGCACAATTCGTCGCAGCCGCCTGACGGGAATTTTGTGATGGACGAAGAAAGTGGGGAGGATTTCTCTGAGGTATTCGGCTCCATCTGCAAGAAGATAATAAATAAATAACGGAGAAGGAAAGGCTAAAAAGCGCTGACCTGAGAGCAAAGCAGTAGCAAGTTCTTCAGAGTGGACTGTTAGCTTGGCATGGAGCAGAGCCATTTTAATTACCACATTTCTTCAGGTTTAATAAAGGACGTGGAGATAGAGTCATTTACAACTATTGCAAAAAGCTTTTAAATACAATTAAGAACAATCTTCAGGCAACTTGAATGTCAGAGGGTCTTTGAATTCAACACTTTGGAAACTGTCCCTGTTTGTTGATGATAATGTAAGTTTAAGTAAGTGTAAGTAACAACAAAATAAAGCTGAATAAATCCACCGTTGGATTTTAAAACTCTTTTTGAACTTGACGAGTCATTATATTGAAAACCCACACCTCAGGCTTCAGTCTGCAAAACCTAAATTCAGATAAAAGCTTTTTCTTAAGAAATTAAGTAAATAATACGGATCAGTAGTGATTCAAGGTGTGTTTGTTTTAGTAGGTGGAACAAACATTTACAACCAGACCACCAATGTGCCCAAAAACATGACATGCCTCTTCATTTGTTCCCTTTTCTTGTAAAAGGTTTATAAACTGGTGGACTCGCCTCTTGATTTGTGATCTTCGCAGGTCGTGCACACGTTGTCGTGCCAGGTGGAGCCCCTCACCGCCAGGTACATCCCTGCAGCGTGGCAGTGTTGGTGCTTCGTGCAGTTCTGGTGAGCAGAGACGGTGTCGGAGAAGGTGCCGTTGGAACAGATTTGGCACACCGTGTCCTCATCAGCCGTACCTGGAGGAAACGTGCATTTGTTTTAGATAAAGGATGAAAACAACACGTTCTCCTGACTAGTAAGACTGCTTCTTACTTTGATGAAAATATCTGTTCCAATTGTCTGACAAGAAAAAGCCTCTATCTCCTGCAGAGCATCAAACTCTTCTGAATCAAAGAGAAATGAACCAAAGATCATTTTCTGTCACATTAACAATGTTGCTGGTGGTTAGGTGGGCTCATTAAGGAGCATTGTTCCATCTCTGTGGCCGTGTAAATAAAATAATTTGTTAACACTGTAAATATAAATGTAGTTACCACTGTTCTGCCTCTGTGTGGCAGTAAATCCATCCTGCTAGAATGGAATATAGTTGCATCCATTCAGATCTAATGCTGTTCAACTCAACCAAACCACACTTGTCACAACCTTTACAAACCAAAAACAATCTCAGTAGAGTTTTACATCTCCTCTTTCACAGTTCTCACTGGGGTTCTAGCAAGAAGAGGATGAGTCCTCTCATTAACATTAATTAGACATTCTTCAGATTGGTTTTCTGAGTAATGCACAGCCAGGCTAACCTCAGGTGTTTTGACGGTAAAGCAACTACGTCTGCTTTATCATGAAATAAAAAAGAAAAGACTTCTCTCTTTCTGTAATATCAGACCTTATAACACCAATGGTACAACAAACCTGTTACCCTGGCAACAGTATTTGGTTAGTTCAGTGGTTGGAGCCACACATGCTGGTGGAGTCCTGCTTATGAGTTATATTTAAATGACAGAGAACAGGTGGATTTTGGTGTGTGAGGGAGATTATGGACACCTGAGACAGTTAGAAATATGAAGACTTATTAAATAAACGTACTTAAACACTTTAGACACAATTAGAGTTGCCACAGTACAGAGATAATACAGAGAGTCATTCAGGCAGTTTGGGTATTGGAATCATTTCTTTAACATCCAGAAAGGAAATGTCAAAATGTGTTCTGACATGTCTGAATGCTGTAAGAGTCGTCAGGAATATACAGAATATATGTGTGAATTATAGAAGTTAGAAGATACTTCGGGAGCAGTGACCTACCTCGGGTCTGAACTCCCTGCCCGGTCGGACAGCGGCTGTGGGGCTGGCACTCCTCCCGGTCCTCCATGTAGTAATACCCCTGTTTACACTGGCACTGGCAGTCGCTGTTCGCCGTGCACGCCGTCTTCACCACCTGGTCCTGGCTGCACACCCCGCAGCGGAGGCACTTGCTGATGTGGTTCCACAGCTCCGTGAACGAGCCCGCAGGACACGGAGCGCACCGGCTGCGTTGCGTAGACGTGCAGCGCGCCAGCAGGAAGGTTCCCGGGGGGCAGCGGTCGCACTGCACCGGGGTCCCGGTCGTCGGGTCCGTTACGTTGAAGGTCATCAGCTGCGAGGCGGCGACTGACAGCAGCGCCGCGGGAAAGAGCAACATCAGCCCCTGGAACATCTGGATAAAGGGGGGAGGACACAGGAGAGGACGGGAGGAAATGGTAGAGAACACGGTGTTATTGCGGGAGCTGATGGGACGTGGAACGAGGAAAGATGAGGGAAATACAGGAAGACAGAAGGAAAACAAGCAGGGAATACAAGAACATGCACTCGAGCTGAAGGGTAGTCAGAAATCCCAATAAATGGATATTCTCCTGAAAACACTGATCAATGGCATTCCTCCTCATTAACTACAAATCAATGTTTCCATCCCGCCTGAACGCCTGAACGCAGATATAATGGTACAGTACTGAGTGGCTGCTCTCTGTGTGGCCCTCAGTACACTGACAGCTGCCCCCCCAGAGCGGTGCGCCCCTGCAGCTGCACTCCCCCCGGACTTACCATCGCTACAGTGTTGTGTCTGCTGATGGAGGGTGAGGCGGTCTGTCTGTCAGACGGATGCTGCTCTGTCCGCTCCCCTCTCTATTTATTACCTCTCACGCCCTTCATCTCATCAGCTCATTCATCAGTGAAAGCGTTCTCGGGAATGCCATGCTTCGTCATAATTATGTCATTTAGAGATAAGTCATCTCTTTCTTTATTGTTATTAGACACTATAGTTTTTTTAGATTTCCAAAAGTGTTCAGCGCGTCAGACGTGCAGTATGGTAGTAGTCCCCTGCGTGCTGTCCCTATAAGGATGTGTGGACTTATTTCTCGCAATTTAAAAGTTACCGGTTTTCTACAAGAGAAACGTCATCGATGCCACTGAAGAGGGAAATGGGAATTTCAGTAAACGTCTAAGATATTCATGTTGGGCTGAAGATTTGTAGATATTTAGATTTTGAAGTTCTTTTTTCAGAGTTATTTGAAGTGGAATTTAAAGCAGATACGATGCAGCCTATATATATATTTTTTTTTTTTTTTTTTTGTGACACTATATTTAGGATCCACCTGTACACCTGGGTGGGTGGTGTATCTGCGCACACATGAAGTTCATAGGTTACCATCGGTTCAGGAGCAGGGCCATGCCTCAACCAGCCTTTTTACACCCGGTCAATCCGTTCTGGTTTCTCTCAGTTGTCTCTACCCACCTTCACCTTTTCCCTACCCACATCTTTTCATCCTCCTCTCCTCATCCCTCCCTATTCAATGGGAGCATACCTCTTCCACGTCTCATTCGAGGTGCCATCTGATGCCTGAGCCTTCAGCACGTCCTCCCAGACCAACCTAACAGATCTTCCTCCTTCTCCCCTCCACATCAGTTCATCTATCCTTTACATCATAACCTCCTAAAGTGAAATATTGTGGCGTGGTCCTTGCTAGTGAATTGGTCATTTAAGTGGATTATCTGGAGCAGATGGTTTGATGTTAGTGTGGAAAACACTGTCTATTCCAACGATGCTTTCCATTCCTAAGTGAAAGGAAAAGAGGCTCTCTAAGTTGGGTTATTGCCTGCTTTCCTAGGATAACGTTGAGCAATATACATTAGCACACATACAATTATTCTTAGTTAGTTATTAACCTGGAATTCTGGTAAAGGAGGTAGTAAGACCCAGTTCTTCCCTAATTACACATGGTTTCTGTATAATTTACATTACTCCAAATGATGAATAATAACAGTCCTCAATAGTAAATACTGTCTTATTTCAATACTTAGAAGCAGATTGCAACCAACTAAAACCCCCTGACTCAACCAAGCATGACGGAGAAACTACAGTGGAGCCATTGATTGGTTTGTCTTTCTTAAAAAGACCGCAAACAAACAAAAACTTATCTCATCAGAATAATGTGAAACATGACACTTGAGATGCAAGGCTGCTGCGAGGAATTCTGGACCACAGGACCAATAACTGACCATTGATCACATGCTGAGGTCTGCTTATGTTGGTTTATAAAACAACTGACTGCTGACATCTTGTGGAAAAAAGACATTACTGTTTAGTTCATCATAAATAACTGAAATTGATGAAACATGATAAGTAGTTTTTTATTTTATCTTGAATGAAATGAAAATGAGTCCATGAGTAAGATGTTAAATGAGTTTAAGTCAGGATTCAATCTGGATTTACCTCTCTCAACTGTATCTTATCACTAAAAATAAACATGTAAAACTGTTACAGCATTTATTTTATGGTCCTGAGGATTATAAAATAATGGAAGCTTTGAATAAAGTTTGACAAATTCAAGTATTTTCTGGTCCCTGAAAATAAAGAATTTTACATTCAGACTAAAAAACATTATTTTCAATGTTTCTAAAATCTAAAGTCCTATTATTTTTTTAATTGTGTATTTTTAAACCTACACACATTGAATCTGCCTTTGTGAATGAAACATGCTTTATCAATAAAACTGCGTGCCCTGCCTTAACTATTTATAAACCGTATCAATAAGAACCTTGCTTCTGCAATTTAGTTATTTAAAGTGCACGTGATGACTGTGAATGCACCTCCTAGGCTTCAAACACTGCAGAAATTTCTGTTGCGATCAAAATTTTCAGAAGAACAAACTTTACTAACTTTATTTAGTTGTTTAGTTTTTAAAATAGCTTTTGCTAAAAAAAAAAAAAAAAACACTGGCCAATCCCAAAACCTTGAAACCACGGTTGCAACAATACTTACTTCTTACGACTGACTAATCTCCCAATTTGATTAACCAATAAATGGTTTAGTCTATGAGAAAAAGCACATTGAAATATCCCAGAGCCTACCCTTCCTCCTCAAGGTTATATTGAGCTTTTCCAGGCCACAATGAGAGAGGCAAAAACCTGGGGTTGTGTGGGTTCTTAGTAACATGATAAATGTGGGAAGAAAAATATGACACAATTTTCCACGACAGCACACTGACGTTTTTACGTCTGCATAAAGCTGGTCCCACAGAATCTCATATCACAGTGCAATCTGTTTCTGAAACAATTTGCAGTGAGAAAATAGGCAACGCAGCTGAAACATACCCTGCTATATTGTCTATTTTAAATGAGACGATCATTTACTAAATGCTGTATGGAAGAAAACCACACTAGCACCTGAGAACATAAACTCATTAGGAAACCATTTAGTAGAGTCATATCTCCACAAGACCTGCTATTGCGGCCAATGGAGCTCCCCCCTGCTGGCCATTACATAGAAAGCATGTTTAAGATACAAGGAAGCTTTGTCCATTATTAAACTGTCCATGTTGACATTCATATAATAGAATTATATTGTTATATATCATTAATTGTATTCATATAACCTGCAGTTTCTTTAATGGTCTATAATACATTGTTATAGTGTTCTACAGCATTCTGTATGAGGAGATACAATTTCACACACCTGTGTCTCTGAGGCTTCACAATCTGTCCGTTGACCAAGGTTTGTGAAGACGAAATGCTTTTGCACACTGACAGTCTTATCCGTTTACTGTGGCTGTCGGTTTTACTTGCTTGTATTCATGACAATAGTTAAAAGAAATTCCCAAGAAATGAAAGCAAGTGGATGTGGTTTTTTTCCCCCCCGTAACACTTTCACTCTGACACTCGTCCTTTCACTTTGTGTGTGTCACTGTTCCTCCCAGTTGAATCATTAAGCGCCTTATGGTAGCAGTGTATTTACTTTGTGACAAGGCAGTTTATGGCTAATACTTTGTGGTTTGTGGATATGAAAATGACTCGAGCTGGTGTGAGATATGTGAATGGGATTGGGATGGGAGTTCTTCATCATCATTTAGTCAGCAGAGCTACTGCTTTTCATCGGACACATCAAATCTCACCGCAATCCATCATATATTTAGGGTTCAACCCATAAGCTGGTTTATTATTATTATTATTTATACATTGGTCTGGGTGAATACTTGATTCTGATTGGCCGCTGGGTGTCCATTCATTCCAAGTAGTTTCAGTGAAACAGTTTCTTCACCGTTCTAAATGAATGAGCTGACATAAACTGAATAAAAAACAAGATCTGAATATCTCATTAATATATCTGACCACACTGAGCATAATCCTTCAGTGGCTCATCCTCTGAAAATCTCCTTCCTGAGAATCTTGACTTTGATTCGGTGACAATAACGTGACTGGACAGCTATGCTGCAGATAGCTCTGCGGGCATTATCCCTCCCTCTGTGGATTAAGTTTAAAGTTTTAAGGGCCAATGCACACCAAGTCTGATCTTTTGTCTGAAATTGTTGAAAAATAAATATGACCTCATGTCTCAATCTGGTGTAGGGGGCTGTCTGGGGTAATTGGTCGGAGTGGGTGTGGCCTGTCAAATGCTTGCTCGTAACTCAAAATGTCTCTGAGCAATCCTGAATCAACGCACCGTAGACTGTGACTCACTCGGATTCTAGAACCACAAACATAGTTTTTGTGATAATGTGAATGTTTTGCTTTCTGAGCCATCAATGCTGGTTGCTCTTGTTGTACACATTTAGACTATAAACATCCTGGAAAACACCTGCTGATGTCAATGAACTGTTTTGTATGCAGTGGAAAAGGTTATATTTATAGCTGAGCTGGAGTTGTCCCCTGAGATTCAATTAACAGTCTCCAAATAAATACCTAACAAGTGGAGACTTAAACTGTCGATGAATGAAAATGATTTTTCCGACTGCACTTAACCTCCCTGTGTAAATACTGATGGCGTGTGTTTGACATCACTTTGAGCCTTTTATAGATGTGTGAGCAGCTTGCCTGCATTGGCAAGAGACAGAGTGATTGGTGAAAAGCCTAAATTGCTACAGAGGAAGTGGAAAATATCAATTTCCTGGGAAAAGACTATGGCAAGTCCTTGAGATGGGAAGAGTTGGAATACACTGGTCATTCACTTCAGAGGTAAAAGGAAAAACATTATAGTGTGACTATTAAGTCAGAGCTGAACTTAAATTTCAATGTCTGTGAATGTCAGTGGTAAAGTTGCAGATTGCAACTAACTGAACAGCACTCACAGCAGTGATCTGGGATGTAATAATGTCCTGACACATTCAGAATAATTACCACTTGTTCCGTTATCATTTAACAGGCGGCTGTTTGAATATGTACATTTAAAGAATTAATTTAATATCATAAAAGTGCGACAACTACCGGAGTATTTTTGCTACTTTTACTGAGGCAGAGGATGTGAACTCACGAATGAACGGTGACTGGCATTGCTGGCTACATGATTGCTTTTGCTGAGTTGTCTCATCTCTCCCTGTTCATTCTTTAAAACTGACCAATTCACAAAGGAGACCTCTTGTCTGGTGCGTCTCTGGTTTTGGTCTTACTTTCCGTCTCATTCTCACACCCACACTCTACAGTCAAAGCAAATCTTCCCAAGTAGATAAATGACCATTGTGATGAGAGCAACATGAGCCACACTGCTGAATATAAAGTGTAATGAGATTTAATGTTGGTCATCCTTGATGTAGGAAAAGATGGTTGTCACAGCTGCAGCTGAGTCAACGATATGAGTTAATATTATTTTGTCCACTGTCAAACTTTCCAGTTTTAGCAGAAACCTTTGAAAACTTAAATGAAATAAAAAACATTATTAATTATTAATGTAATCTCAGTGATTCATCGACATAATGCACACTAAGGCAAGACCATTCTGAGTACAAAAGACTAACCCTGAATTCACAGCACGTGAGAAACATCTGCAGTGAGTTAATGTTCCTGAATCATCCATCTGTTCGATCCAAACAGACCCCAGCTGCAGTTGTCTGCACAGCCCTGCGGGTGCTGGAAGGATGGTGAATGAACAAGCAGAGAAATACGGGAACTGAAAATATTTTTCAACTAAGCAGTGTCAGGGGCTTTGCGTCAGGCTTATGGCATTAGACCCACTGAAACATGCTGGTGACTGGTTACGGGATTTGGGTTGGCCATGGGCATGGAGAACCTGCTGGCACGATCTTGTTAATTCATTAAAATAGCAGAATGTGTTTTTTTGTTTTTTTATGAAAACTTATCTCAGAGTTATTTAAAAAAGTAGTTGAGCTAGCTTCACCTCACGTGTACAAGAGAGACTATGTTTGCTGCAAAACAGAAACACTGAAGGCCCTAACTACAGCCAGTATTTGGTTTGCCTGTTCAGACTCATCTTCAGAAGAGGTCCCTCTCCCTCTGGAGATAAAAACGTCCCATTCTAAGGTAATAAAAACATGATTTATATTAAACCTATAAATAGGAACATTAATCATGATTATCTGTATCAAAAATGGTAATGTGGTTAAATTAGGATTTGTGATGTGGGCTGGCTTTGTGGTTTTAGGGTTGCCATGAGTCATTCTAAATACTGTTGACAGTGAACAAATCTACAGATGATGACAATTGTGCACATTATAAAAGTGAAAATGTGTGTGTTTTGTCATAAACCAAACCTATTCATGAATCAATGATGCTTTTACCACTGTTCTTTTTTTGTCATCAGAGCTTAGAGTGAAAACATGGAAGGCTTTTATCGGCGGGCAAACAGACCTTTACTGGGAACCTGTTTGATTGCTTGCAGGAACTGACCTAATGGGCCTGCAAAAGCAGAGGGTTACCATGGGAATCCCATTACTGCAACACATTTATTGCACCTTCAGCCTTTCAGCAATTTGAATTGCTGCTTCATGCCTGTTTCTGTCCATTCATTATCAACAATACATGCATGCATGCATGCATCAAACATAACAATCATAAAATTAATAATGATATAGTTTTAAAACCAATTCACAGATCTGTTCACATCTGTTCATCTGTATCAACGCATATATGACCGACACACATATGTATGCCTGGCATAAAAAAATGCTGAAGAGATTTACAGTATTAAGCTATACAGTAAAGAATAAACAAAGATTAGAGAAGTGTAACAGGAGAGAGTTTTGTTTCTTTATTTTGGTAATAATCTAATGTGGTGGTACCCTTGTGGTAGTAAGGATGGCAGGCTGCGAGTGTTTACTATGTAGCGAACACTAGCTGCAGTTATGAAAACTGTTTATATGCGACGTGATCTACAGTTCGGTGCTAACGCAAGTGATTAATTTGTCCACGGATTTTGCCTTTTAATAGGCAGTCTTCAAACTTTTCTGTTGGTTTTAATTTGTTCAACACTTCGGTTTACAGGCTGTTCATTCTGTCTGAGGTTTTTATGGAGCATTTTCTTTCAAACCAATCATAATCAGAAGAGAGTCATTTTAAATAGCCGTATGTCATGGGAGCTAGCACTGTCAGTTGTCAACCTGGACCTTATTTTCCCATGTTATTGTGTCGAAATGACTGCTGGGGAGCAGTACTGAGGGAGTGCCAAAGCCTGCAGCCATGAAATGGGCTACAGTGTAATCCTGGCAGGCAGGTTATGTTATTAGAAGTGTCTGAAAACAAAGAACATGACCTTTCAGAGAAATTAAATGTTTTCTGTACTTTTTCACTTGACCTGGTCTGTGAAATCTCCTGTGTGGGCATAGGTTCACAGCACCCACAGGAACACATCCAGATTCCCTTGAGGCAACCAGTTCACCCTCTTTTGCTCTTGTAGAAGCTTTTCTTCCTCTGAAGAGCTGGAAAATGTCCTCAGAGACTGTTTACCTCAATGATTCTATTCTAAGTAAAAACACCTGCCCAGTTTAACAAAGGAACTCTGCTGATGCCTCCAACCCGATTCCCATTACCTCACCGAGACCTCATTAGTCCACTCAGACACCAGCAAAACAAGAAGGCACTGTGCTTTTTGTTGTTGTTTCCTTACTAGCAGCACAAATTGGCCTTTCCTGTTGTGCTCGGTCTACTCTCTCAATGACTGTGCGGAGCAGATTCAAGACACAAGAACATTTCTGTGCAAAAACATAAAGAAAGAAAATAAAGTGGTCACTGGTTCTCAAACTAAACTGCATGAACCAAAAATTAACTACATTAATTTAAAACCACACAGTACTATCACAATTATACAAAATGTAAACTATGAAATTGCTGAAATGCCATTTAAATGTAACTTAAGTTGTGCATTTTCTGCAATATAGTGTTTAATATCAGCCTACTCACATTCCAGCATGCTACACACGTGTACATCCATGATTCGTTACGAGCTAAAATGTGACGGCAAGATAGTAAGCAGAGGAAAAATAAAAAGTTCAAAAACACTGCATGTGTTGCTCCAAATGGGAACTATTAGGAAGAGATCATGAGTATCCCTTTTCTACTAAATTGGCTCTGGTTCTTGAACCGGTTCCATTCAGGATTCAAAAGCTGTTAACAATAAACAATGTTGGCTGTTTTAGTGAAACTGTATGTCTTAGTCAACGCACTTTTAACAGCGTGACCAGGACAAGGCGCAGCACTCGAGCTGCTGCCACTAACTTGCTTATTGTTTGCTTGTTTACACCACTAGCACAGGAGCATTGGACTGCAGCGGAGTGGGGCCAGAATTAGGGCTTCCCAATTAGAGTTAATTTGTAACGTTATACATCATCCATCATAACAGCAAGTCCACAAGTATGCTGTTTTTGTGAAGTTGGAAGATATTTATTCTGTGTTTTGAAGGAGACTTGTGTTAAAATAAATGTTAAGTTTCCTTGCTGTGCATTCTTACCCTTATATTCTTAGCCCTAGAAATCTCAACAATGTAATTGAGTAATATATTAATTTACCTTGGATAGTTTATCTCTCTGTGTAAAGGCTTTTTAAGGCAGAACAAAATCATAATAGGATGTGTGTTTGATTTTTGCTGGCAAACCTATGAAAACTAAGAAAGAGGTCTAATTTGTTGACGTAACCTTCCTCCTGCAGCTCAGTACTCCGTCTCTCTGCAACTTCGATTCAATGTGGTCAAAAGATCCTCGTTTGTTTTCTGAAAAACTAAAACCCTTTTCTGAAAACTACGCAGCTCTTCTTGTTTAATCCAAAAATGTTTTAATAAAACTGTTGATTGTTCTGATTTTTTTATTTAAAGTGACTGGTACAATATGAGGAAACATTTTAAACAGGAAGTTTATCCAAATAATACAAAAAAAGGTCTTTAAAGGAGATATCAACATCTGACACTTCCAATACAATGGAGTGGAATTGTACTCATCAGAGATATGAACAGAGATTTAGTCGACACGGTTTGATACAATTCTTAATACAATATACAGACAAAAGGGGCAAAAAAAATGTTTCCCCAAAATAAAAAAAACAAGTGTGTGATCATCTATGACTGTATTTAAAGTCCTGTAGCACCACAGCTCTAAAAGTCCTGCAAGTTAAAGAAAAGATTTCCTTTCTTCTGTTTAAATACCCGTTCTACCTCATCCCATCTGGACTTCGAGTCCAATAACCGCTTAAATACAGATTACAAAAATAAAATCAATAGGATACAAATTATGATAATAATAGGATTACATAATACAAAAATAAATTAACAGTTTAAATTTAAAAGTAAATAAAAACTTTATGTTGGATGATAGATACATTCAGTCCGGGGTTGACAACGTGATAACACAATTAAAGGCTACTTATTCAATAGTACACTACTTTTAGAGGTATTGAATATTATTCTTGGTCATTTTTGTTTGTGGAAATTAACAATTTCATTGTTTTCTTTGAATGGCAGCTGTGGGGCGGGTCTTCACCCTCAGCAGCTCTGGGATTGGTCGATTGCTGCCCTGGTAGAAGTCCAATCCCGTGATCCACTCGACGTCTCTGACTCGAGATTGATGGAACCACATGAGATCTTCAACCCAATGAGACTCGGTTTGTGTACTCTGTCGATGCGAAACAAAAAGCGACAGAACATTTGAACAAAGGTGAGCTAATCAGAAAAAAAAGGACAGTTTGTGAGGATGATTTTCTGCTTTCTGTTACATCCTGTTAGCAAAAACTGTCCAGGGACGTGCACAGACATTTTGGGGGTCAGGGGCAAGCGGAAAAAGGGGCATTCACCCCACCTACAAATTATCACTGCCATTGTACTGAGACTATACATAATTTTTTTGTGTTCCAACGACATATTCCTCGATGAAACCACAATTTATTATTTTTTTTTAAGTAATTTTTTTGGCCTTTTCATGCCTTTATTTTGATAGAGACAGCTGGAGATTGACAGGAAAGGGGGGTAGAGAGAGAGGGGATGACACGCAGCAAAGGGCTGCAGGTCAGATTTGAACCAGGGCTGCTGCAGCAACTCTGTATATGGGTCGCCAGCTCTTCCGACTGAGCTAACCAGGCGCCCGAAACCATGAATGTGACGTTTTCATGAAATTAATTTAATACCTACCTGTTTAGTCCAGTTCAGAAAATGGAAAAAATTGACCTTTTCTTTGTGGATTATTCATTGCTTTTGCACCAACATTACTATACAAAGGTACTTGGTTGTGCTGTGCTTTCCCACCTTACATCAACACACCTATTTGAGCCACTCCACCTGGACACTCCAAAGTTCCGTTTAGACCACAAAATTCCCAAACCAGTGGAAATATCCCAGAAGCTTGTTTAACAACAAATATTGCAATAAGTAGCGGAGTAGCCTATTGAGTGCCAGCAAAGCCAACCAACTGGTTTGTCCAATAGGATGTGATTTTGATGACTGTCTGACCTCCCTCTAGCACCACTTAACTAACACTTTGGTCCACGACAAGGTATCTTTCAACAATTGGCCTTATTACCATGAAATTTGCCTTTGGTAGTCATGGTCTCCAGATGATTAATGTCAGTCTTCTTGGTGATCCCTGACCTTTGTTATTGGGCCACCATCGATCCACAGTTGGTCATTGGAATGGGCCGCAGTGGTTATTTAGTCTTTTTTTTATTACTTTGATGTTCACACACAGGAACAGACAACAGCAGCTAACATAAAGTGGGGAGTCAGTTTCATATTAAGTAAGACTTAATAATAATATTTTTCTGGCCCAATGTGAGGAAGCAAGTGGAGGAGGATTGTGAAATAAAAAACGATAAAAACAGACATAGCAACTTCTTACTTTGCAGCTTTCCAAGTTGTTGGGTCTGTGAGTCAGTAAGAAGGACACGGTCTGCAGCTCTCCGATGCAGGCGTTCACAGGTAGGGCTGAATCCTTACAGCTGGTCAACACCACAAAGTAATGCGTGGGAATGGAGATGTTCGTTCCTGACACAAACCTAGAATCACACAATATCAAGTCTTACTCATCAGCGCATTTTTACTGCAAGTACAGTAAAGTTTGCTGCAACACCCACTCTTCTGGTTTCAGTCCTTCCAGCAGATGTTGAACCTGGCTGGGATTTGCTCGCTTTCAAACACAAGACATATCGCCAGACAAATACATACTGACAATGACAGGAAAAGATAACATGAAGTGTCATTAGAAGGGTTGGGCACAAAATAACATTTCCTGTTTCATTCCAGTGTTTTTGATCACTGACAAAATACTCCAAATCCTACGTGTTGGCTTAAAATGCAAAACTCTGAGTAGAGTCTGATATTATTTAATGTAATCATTCTGTATTGAAAATAATTTAGCTGTTTAACAGTTTCTGTATTTTATCTCATAATGATGGATTAATGAAAACCCATATATATTCATGGAGTTCATGGTTTTAGGTCCTGGCAGTGACTTTCTTCAAAAATCAACTCTGTTTGTCTTGGAGCTGTAAAAGTGCTAGTGCAAATATTAGCATTCCTTATGAGGAAATTAAACTTACTGCTCAATCTGCTCCAGAGTGTCGTACCGGCCGTCGTAGTTGTAATCGAAAACGGGGCCCGTCACTACGTTAATGCCGTTGTAAATGGAGGCGTATTTCTTTAATAGGGTGCTGTGAAAATAGTCCCAAATCTCTGAAAGAGGAGAGGGGAGAAGATTAAATTTAAGGTAAAAAGGCAAGTTGTGCAGTGTAGTTTTTGCCGTGATATTAACCAATAACTTACTCTTAAACTCGGGGTACATTGGCACCACATTACTCATTAGCAGAGCATCGTACTGTTGGTCCACTGTCACATTCAGGTCTGCAAAAACACCACAAGGAACAATTTTAGGATGAGTTTCACTGAACTTCTAAAGACGGATGAAAATACAAATGTGCACTCCGCTGCATCCTCTCACTGGGGTTGAAAATAGTGACTACTACCACACTAGCAATGTGACTACTATAATTCACTGACAGTGCATGTCCTCTATCAGCATAACTTGAATTAAATATACAGAACTGAATTCCAAAGACCAACCCCTCTTCTTTTATATGGAGTAAATATATTATCCCCTTTTCTGAAAATACATTCATCATATAAAAAGACCTAATTTAGGCCTTTTTCAATCATTCAGACCTGCTACGTTGTGATCACACTTTTACATTAAGGAGAAAGAGGACAAAGAACTCCAGAAACTGCATCAGTTCTGAGAAAACACTGCGCAGCTATTTAGAGGGATATGTTATCAGATGGGAGAAGCTCAATGGAAGTGGTTCTTTTTATTCAGGTCAGGGTACAATGTCAGCTACACCCCCACAATGTTTTTCTACTTGATGTCAGACTGTGAGATGTGGAGAAGTGGAATCCAGGTCTTTTCCAGTGAAGAGAAACCTTGTTGCTTTCATTTAATCAAAGTGATTATTTCTGTTCAGGGAGCAAGGACAATGCTAGCACCGCACAAAGCCTCACTTGTTGAAATGCTGAATCTGCAGCCAAAAAGAATGTAATAAATGAAAAGTAGTGAGTGTAGAGTCTACGTGAACCTACAACACCTTCTTTGGTAATTGACTCATAACAACTACAAGAATTCAGAAACTAAATCAAAAATTAATCCAGCCAACCATTTCTTCTCATTACAGTGCAGATGCCTGGCATCAGGAATTCCTGTGAAATGATCCCAAATTCAGTTAATTTCCTTATAATGCAGGGAAGGAGACTTAAAACATAGAGAGTCGTGGTATTCAAAATTGGAATAGGTCTATGTCTTTTGATTTCCTGTTTTGTGAGTCAAAGGATTTTTGATTCAGCTTTGGCCAAAAGGTCCAGGAAATGATAGCAGTGGTTTTGCCAACATTTTCCTGCATTCTTTCTACCCTGCAGGCAGCAGTTGGTTTTACTAAACAACGCTGGTATTATACTGCAAGAACTAATTATGTGGCAGAAAACAAATGAAATACTTTGCCAGTAAACATTTTAATGATATTGCTGTAACATCTGGGGAGTTATAATCTGGTCAGGACTTTATTTCTTTTTTCATGACAATAAAATGAGAGCACCAGGACTGCATTCCACTAACCTCACAAGAAGAAAGAAGAGACTGTTTCTCCTTTTTCTGATATACATGATAGGCAGGCTGAATAAATATACATTTCAAGTTAAAAAATACAACAAAAACACAATCACAATCCACAGTGTAATGTTAAGTAGATTATATCTAATAATAATATCTCCTGACTGACTTCTATAAGAGTTTGAATATGTTATATGGCTCTGATTGGTTAAAGTTTTCTTGTGATTAACAGCGATAGACAGATGGTTAGAAGTGCATCTGTAAGGTTTGATCATATCCAAAAAAAAGAAAAGAAATTAAGAGGTCTGTGGGATAAATCAGCCCTTTGTTTGACCTGAGGAAATGTCTGGTGAAGTCATTTTTTTATAATGAAATAAGGTGAGCTGTTTCAGATGTTTTGCAATTGGGGAATATGAGCAAAAACAAACAGTGACATTACACTGAAAACTAATAAAACACTGAACGCTGTGTACGAGAGGTGTACGAATTTACGGAGAATTATGGGGGAGGATGGGCTGAAATTCTATGGAAAAAAATGTGAGAAAGAGAGAGAGACAGAGGAAGTGAGTGTAGCAGACACAGAAATGCTCACGACCTTTTGAGCACCAAGAGAGACAAGAGATAATTACAGTATAGTTATACTATAGTATTGTCGTAGTAGTTAGAATACAGTAGTTAGTTTGGGTCAGTTGGGTGCTGATGCGTACTTGGTGGGTACAGGAAAGCGTGTGTCACGTTCCTATCATTGTTGTACTGGTCACATCTGGGACTCTGGGACACTGGGACTCTGATATCAGCCCTCAAACAGTCTGAAGTCACTGGCTGTAAGGGGTCCAAGTTCATCTACAGGAATGGGAAAATCAATGTTTTAGTTAATATTTTGTTTTATTAGAAACAATCCAGCTCCAGATGCAAGTTCAGATGAACAATTAACTTTTTTCTGTGATCTTTTATGCTGATAAATTTCATCTGTGCCAAGGCTTTGAGATCCAATAACAATAGCTCTTTCAGAGCCAACTATTGTGGGGAAGTCTGGATTGTGAACTCCTGTCTTCCAAGAAATACTTTCCTGAAAACCAATGCCATCTGTGTAGTCATGTTATGTTATCACTGCCATTAAGTTGTGCACAATTCAAAGCCCTGACATTACCAGACAACTCTTGTTATTCCTCAAACATCAACATGATTGTTTATTTTATTTTCATAGGATTCAGATTTATAACATCTGAAGATTTCCACTATGAAAATCACACATTTGTAATACTCTTCCTTCACCATTAACACACTTACCGGCTTGTCGATGGTGAAGGAGCTCCACAAAGGCATCAGGGCTTTGTGGCTGTAGGCGGTGATGAATCCCTCCTGGTAAAGGACACAGTAACTCTGGTCAGGCTGCAGCATCTGGGGACGACCAAACAGCATGTGCTTCTTCTCCGCAGCGGACACTGAAAGACGAAAAGTGCACTCAGAATTAATGTCACTGCCATGTGCAAAAAACTTTAAAAGTGCAGAGGTTTTGACAAGTAATTTTTGCCCTCTTTGCATTGTCGATCAGTGGAATATTGACAACACTGGAAATCAGAAGGGAGATGCAGGAAAATGTCAAACATTTATGAAAGAACCAATCCAATTCCTCAAAGTGCCTTCAGTTGTGACACTGCATGTATTTTAAGGAACCGATCTAGAATCCAAAAATCTACCAAATAAAAACACAAATTACAGATCTCAGGAACATTTAAGGTACAGAAGAACTTTCTTTAAAGGACTGTCAGTGGAAATGGAACCTGCTCACCTTCCTCTGCTGTCAGATTCAGACGATTGTTGATTGCATTCCCACCCTAAAGAGAGAGAAAAGGAAGACATATAATAATATATATTTTGTTTTTTATCAAGCACAGTATACACTTACATAAAATAATGTGATACAATATAACATAATAAGCTTGCCTGTAAAGGTGTAAAAAGATGAATTATTATTTTTTCTTCTTCTAAAAGTTGTTCTGTGGAACATCTGTTTCTCTGTTCCTAGGCTTTTTCCATCCATATCATCAGCCTCCATTTCAATCTATGAATCACTATATTACTCAAGGCCTGTGCTTATTTCTGTTACCTGTTTACAAGATTGCAGTATATTTGGGGATTTTCCAAGCAAATTTTTTTATAATGACTTGCTGATTTTTCCTCCACATCATGGTGGTATGTGAGTGTGCTTTCACCAATTCAAGTAAAAAAAATTTCAAAAACAGGTGAGGTGAGATAGCCTACACACACTGTGCCTAAAGAAAGACCTAGGAATTATGTCCAAATGGGATGATTTACGTCCAGTGGCTATGCAGGAAGTAGTGGGAAGTAAAGGGGTGGAGGTTGGTGTGTTTCCCCTCACAGACCTATAATTAATATCATTTCATTAACCTGAATCATGATTGTAACTAAGTGTTTTAGTTGCTAAACCCTTATCATATCTAGCCACAATTAATTTTCCATTACAGAAATCTTTACATAGCCTAAAACACACCGTAGTTGCCATGTGCAGATATTGTGTTTCTTATGGCATGCCAGTACGGACGTATGAATGTAAGAATGCACTAATAAATACTCATTATACCCATGTATGTGTGTATGTGTACATAAATCAATGAATTTGTATAGTTTGGTTTTCTTTCTCCCAGTGTTCAAAATACAAAAGTGCATGTGCTAGTTTTTTTTTAGTTCAGAGGCTGGGTTTCACAAAGTTCAAACGTCGGCTTGCAACAGCCGTCTCCTTGAACAGATATAATTTGTTGTTTATTCTATGATTGTTTAAACTATAATAACAGATTAAGGTGCCATTTATCATCTCAGTCACAAGCCGCAAGGACATTTTACAGGGGAAAAAACTGCCTGTGTAACTAGCTGTATAATATCAAATGCCTTTGGAGCTTAGTTTATATATAACCTTCACACTGTCACATAATTATAAAAAAATATGTCTTCATCAGAGCTTCTCTGCTCAGAGCATCTCTAAAGAAAGCCATGAAATGTCTGCATATTTCTAAATACATTGGTGTAATTGAGATTAGTCAACTTTTCCCTGCAAATCTGTGTGTGCTAGCGTTTCTGCCTTTCGGTGTTCATCCTGGGTTCAACACTGGAATTTAACATTTTGGTTTAGTGCCACAAGCAAAATACAGGGTATAATGTTCTTGTTGTGAGAGAAAGTCTGTGACGACTGCCAGACTATGTCATTGCCAGGATGACCCTTGTGTCTCTATTCCAGGGAAACAAATCATCAAGTCATCAATACACAGTACTAGAAATATAAATACACACTTAATTGTTGTTTTAAAGTTCTAGTACTTCACTTGATACATTTTACTCCACCAATTTGTCAGAGTGCAATATCAACATTTGGCTGAGACACAGCTGGAGACATGATTTTTGCATCACTCTCAAACTTCTCAAAATCCTCCCATAGGCTGGCCTTTTTTCGAGTAGTTCGATTTTGGTTCGTACCATCACTTACCTTTTGCAGTGACTCTTGAATTCTGCCATAGTTCTGGTGCAGTGCTTTTGTTGCATGGGTGTGTGCTGACCATCTAGTGTTTGAAAGTTTTTCAAAGTCTCTATTCTGTGGTTGTCATTGGGCTGTAGACCCGCTGTAAGTGGCAGAAACTTTACAAAACACTCTTGGATGCAGCTATCAGGTGACGCATAGCACATAATGAACGTGAGCTGGTCTGTGTGTGAAACATCTGGAGTGGAATCCACACTGAGCGAAAGGTATTTCACACTTTTATCTGACTGATTATCTCTTTGAGGATATCAGTTCAATGAATTCCTAACATGCTGCTGATAAGAGGTATGATGGTGTTCCCTTGCCTGCGTTGCCATTTTTTTCTATATGCACTTTCAAGAATGGGTCAAACTCGCCGAACTTCCAGCAAACCCATAAGTTCCTGTTATCAGGTTGCCCAAAAATGTCTCTATGTCCTCGCTCTGCTAAAAACAGCAACTACCCTCTGTAAAACCTTGGTCCAAGATTCACATTCACTGTCAAATTGTTTTTTCAGAATCTATCTTTCCAGCATCAGCACAGCACATAACATAAGCGACCATAGCCTTTCTGTGGTGCTCCGATCCTTCATGTTCAGCCAAGGGTTAAGGGTTAGGGTTTTTTACTGTTTGTCTTGTCTTATCTTAGTAAAGACATAATGTAGGATTATTTGTGCATTTCGTTATGCTATTGACTGATTGTCTGGAACATGCATCTAATTCAAGGACTTTTGTGAATGAGGCCCACAATCTTTTCCTCTACAGTTAAATGTGACTCTGCAACATAGAAGTGTGACATTACCCACCAGCGCAGGACAGGAGCACCCCAGGTTGTCTGCAGGGTCGAGGCTAATCAGCGGACACTGAATAGGTCTGCTCTGCTCTGCAGGGGCCACTGGTGTGTAGTAGGGCAGCCTCAGGATGTGGTTCATACTGCCGTGGGTCCCGTTGTTGTCAGTAGGAGAGACCTGTAGGATGTCTGCATGAAACAACTGCTGTTTAGTTATTTGCATTACACAAGTTTCCTAGCTACAGATTTTGGGTAGTACATTACATTACAGCCAAATGTTTGCCAAAGCATAACCAAGGGTTTTTATTTGCAGAGAAATTTTGCGTGACAAAGGTTATATAAAGTTGTATCCAACACAGTTGCTTTACTTTTTGCTAGCTATAGTGGTATTGTGATTTATTCTTTCCACAATGTTGGCATCGCCTGATTTTCTCTAAACTCAGTAAGCTCAGCGCCAAACTTGAATGCCAAGTGAATCACAATAGGATAATCTAAAGGGGGTCAACAAACATTCACCATGTTCCAATCTTTATCACAAGAAAGCTTCAAGTCTCTGCAGGTTCATATGACTGGTTTTAGATAACATTGGTGCTTTTTTGTTTGTCCTGGGGTCATTGATTTTTACTAACAGCAGCTCTGATTGGACTCCAAGATAATCTACAACAAATTAAAGTCTGCAGTCTATCTAAAAGCTTACAGTTAATGGTAAAAAAAAACACCCACAGACTCACCACACATAAGATTGTATAGTTCGATGTTGGAAAAGGGTTCAATTTCAGTTTTTTGTTGAAACTTGGGTCCATAACTGACAAACATGGCCTGCAAGAAAACAAGAAGTAAGAAAAAAAACTACATACAGTTAAGTTTGCAGGTAATTGTAATGATGGAGATACATGTTTTTAACATTTTAGAGGGAACTTTTACTGACATTACTGCTGGCTGCTGACTAATAGAACAGAATAGTAAGGAATCGTCAGTGCTCACGTGCATGCTCTCAGCATCATTGTCATAGCCATGAGCGCCACCAGAGCAGAATGTGACAGATCCTGGATACCTGTGGTCACACACAGAACAGTTGCTCAGTTTTAGCATGAAATAAGTCCGATCAGATCAGGGTCTAATGAATAATATCAGAAATTCTGAGTGCAGAGCTTGAAAAGTTAAGGGGGTGAAGCAATAAATGATTAGTATCCAGTGCTCTGTTATCCCTTACAGAGAATGATATCATTGATTTACACATTTAACCGCTTGTGAAATGAATAATAACTCACATGGTGAGTATTTTTTTCCAGATCTTACCGAAAGGATACTTCCAAATACCTTGGAATTCTCCGAAGTGTTTCCCAGAGACAAACCTAAATCATCCTCAAACAGACTTTTTGATGTGGTCTATAGTTCCATTCTATTATCATGAGTCCCTGTACCTTCCCTGGGTGGTGTATTTTTCTTGTAACCACTGGTGACTAATCTTAACAAACAGCAACAATAAAAACAGAGGGTAGACAAACTTAATATGCTTAATGGTTACCTCTCAAACAGCCATTTTGGGTCGACCAAGACGTTAACATCTTCAATGCGACGGCTGTTGGCAAAGTGGAGGCGCTTTGGCAGGTTGGCCTTCAGGTACGGTTTGATCTTTTGGTCTGGTTTCTTACACTGAAAACACAAAAACAAAAATTATCATTTTATTATAATTTTCTAATTTATCAGCAATTACGTCCTTTTATGGGTATCTCATGTCAGAATGAACTCTATTTTACTTACTGTAAATAGTTGTAGTATGTGGGTGTTTTGTGGGAGAACAGTGAATACTTACAGTCATGTTAGCAACAAGTCCAGCTGGGTCCACTGTCATAGGAGAAAATAAATGAGGTAATGCAACACCAAAACAATGCATAACAATTATCCAACGTGCTGTTACGTCAAACAAAACCAATCCTGTCAATCTATATGACCTACATAAGCAAACCATCAGTGAGTGGATTGGCTGTTTCTATATAGTTGCTTTTAATGCCTGTCTCCGGGTTGGATTTTAAATTAGATTAAATAATCTATGGGATGCAGAGCGCAAGAGCCAATGTTTACATTTTCCCAGGCAAGGTTTTTCAGTAAGTAATGTACAGGCAGTTGACGGTAAGCAGGAGGAGATTTTTCCTTAGTGAGTTTCATTCATTTTTGGGATTATATTTTGTGGCTATGGTTGGTGTAACAGGATCAGCAAAAAGATTGAGAGAATTGCAAGATTTGTTCGTTAGTTAAACCTTAGCATATAATGCATAAAAAAATAATACAAGCTGATATAAAAATAAATACCAGGGAGACAAATGATGAAAATCCAATGATTAAAACTTAAAAACTAAAGCTGTAAAATTACTCTAAAGTAAAAGCCAAATTAAAAAGATCTGTCTTTTATTCTTTAACCACCTGTACTGGTTTATTGATTAACTGCTGCCAATCTAAAGGACGTTTGAAATGCTAATGTTTCTGCTCATCGTCAGCAAGTCTCATCACTCTGACAGAAAGTCACGCATACAAACATACAAGCAGATCAGAACAGATCATGGCGATGCAGTGCAGTGAACATTATCGCTGTTACGTTTAAAATTATTTCTTATGCAGATTTCCAAGTAAAGATTTCAACATGCAAAAATTTGGCACGAAGATTTGACAATCAGATTACAGATGCAAAACGCCTAGAATTGGCCACTGGCCTATGACAGGCCTGTGCTCATTTTTCTCATCTCATTTCCATGAAGAAATTCTGTGTGGGTGAATCAAAGGCAACACTTGGCAGCACCTCTCCTATTATAAATAAAATATGAAATAGAACTTCAAACTTGAACTTGGGTAAGAGTCAGTTAATGGCACCTACAGGTGTTAGGAAGAGACCCTGTTGCTCAATGATACAAAACCCACATGATTCTCAATTGGCTGATAAAATGTTAATGTGGGCATGAAACCCATTAACAAGCCCTTTTTCAGTGTAAAGCAGCATTAGATAAGGTTGCTATGCTTACTCACAGACTATATCTTTGTTTTTTGCTCTGATACGTCCGAATGGTCCCTCGGTGACCCAGTAATTGCGGATGTCTCCTACAAGCTCTTGCAGCACCTCCTTCCTGTCACAGCTTGTATCCTCCATACCTGCAACAGCAATACACTGTTATATTAATCTCTGTCATATAACACTGTTTACGTTCTCTTTTTAATATTTTTCTCATGACTTGCAGTCTGCAAGTATTTCTAAATTCCATTTCACAACATATTTTTGGATTCAATTTGATCCAGGGTGGTTTCATTACACTATAAATTTGTGGACTTTAATCCATCACAGATTTGATGACATTCCTGACAAATGCAGCTGATAGAAAAAACACAGAATTTCATAATGATATTGATTAAAGAAACTGGATCACATCATGGCTGATACATGCTTTATCGGTCAGATAGCGATCTGGCATGTTGTATCTGTGCAGCCCACACAAAACATTAATTTCACTGTTATTCATTCGTTTTCAATTGTACCATTAACAGAAGGAAGATAGCTGTGTCATATTGTGTGTTACCATGATCTGCCAAGATGATGATGTTGAGACAACGGTGTAGGCCAATCTGCATGAGACCATTCATTAGTTGACCGATAATCTTGTCTACCCCCTGGATTGCTTGAATCAGCTGCGTGAAACGGGCAAAGAAACAAAAACACAGCCAATCAACAGCTAATAAATGAGTGCAGTATAATAATCATTAACATTAGTCATCACAGAGACCGGCGCAAACACTACTATAAACATACTTGTTGCCATTGAAAGCAACATTTCCAGAGTAATAGACTTTGCGAATGAGACGAGCTCACAGCACATTTAAGCATTTCAATAAAGGAAGAGGGTAGTGTATAGAATTCACTGCCTTTTCTGCACAAAACTGTTGTTGGTGAGAAAGTACCCTTACTGCCTGTCCTCAGTAAACTGCTGCGTAGCTGTAAAGGACCGTGCCAAACATTATTTAATCACTGTTAGCTGGAAGTGCATTGATGGTTCACATTAATACAGCTGTGAGCTATCAAAAGGCTTCGTCTTTCTGTTCCACCCTGACCCCAGAGAGGCACACTCACTGTACACTATAACATGGGTGGACAACAATAACACTTCAACTCTGTCAGCTTTAAGTTGCATGCTACAAGAAAACAGCATAAAGATGTTTCAATAGCTGGGAGCATGTGTCAAGATATTGTGACAGCCCTTTGACTTCCTGTTTGGGCTGTCTTTCCCTTTAAGGAAGTAAACAGGAAGTATCATTATCAATCATTAATTAGCGCCTGCTGCTCCTCAGCTATATAAACTGGAGGTGTCAGTCTGTTTCTCTCTCTCTCTTCCTGGGCATATGGTCTGTTGTTTGGGTTAGACTTCATTTGGTGTTCATTTTCTTTGTTCATTACACTTCACTGTCACTCACACAATACCTCCAAACACTACTGATGTACTGATTGACATACTTCGTATTATCATTATTTCACTTTCAACATTTAGTTTAAAAGTCAACTGTTGTCCTCTCCTCTTTGTGCTACCCTCCAGCTGGGCTGTTTCTTTTAAAGAGTTCCATTGTTTGGTAAAATGTATATTTCTCGATAAACTTGGAGGACAAGATCCTGCAAAGCCCCACAGTTTGCATTTTGGTGTTTGCTTGTGCCAAATCAGATGGTAAGGAGATAGTGGAAAGGTGGAGATGAGCCTTTAAGAGGTAAGGTTCTGGAATTTCATTCAATATGTAACTGAGACAAACAGTGAGATTTCCCATTTTCCATCATTGAAAGATATTTTCTTAAAAGCGTTATTAAAATGTCTGTATCCCTGCTGGCATGAAGAGAAGCATAAGCAGATAGATGACAGACGCAGGTAATCTGAAGCTGGAGGCCAAAGGTGTAGTCAGGGCTTTCACATCATTTATGTTTATGATGAATGCCTTTGACCTTGCACACAGCTGTCACAAAAACAGAACAGTCTTTAAAGAACATACTGTAAGAGATTAAAGCATAGGTCTGTTGCTATGCTAGATTTGTAGGCATGTATCTAGTAAAATGTACTGTGTGTGTATCAAAGCCTATATATATATCTTCTTCCTCTGTGCCATAGAGCGCCCTTGTTGTCCAAATTAAAAACACATGAACACACACTGTAGTTTATTTTGACTCACACATACCTACACACCTACTGCCACAAATACTCACTAGCACACCACATAAGGATTAATCTGCTGCTGAAATAGTTCCCAGTAAACAGTGCCCAGTTGTTTTCAGACATTTAAAAAAATTCATTAGTTATGAGCTGTTTCTGAATAATTGTTTACAATAAGGAGGAATGGGCCTCGAGCTGAGAGTCACAGACAGGAAGTCTTGAGAGACAGACTAACACATCAGTCAGAAATTGATCACCAACCTTATCTTTTGATTGATTCAATAACAAACGCAATGCTCACACCCATGGCATTTTAAAAGATCATGCCACAACAGGACAACTAATCTGAACATAATATTTTCAACTGTCTTAGTTATACAAAACATTACAAATCATCAGCTGTGCATCAATGACAGACGTTTGCGGTTAACACTTAAAATATCCTTCTCTACAGTAAGGGCTTGTGTATAAATCACTCCACTGCATGTTTTTCCCATACAGTTCACCTCTGAATGTAGACAGACAGGTTGAATCATTTGATAAAATCAAATACACTGTTGCCAAGCACTTGAAGTACCAAATGTTAATGTAATTTAAGTTTTAGAGCTTTTGCTCAGGTAGAAACTTGTCTCGAAAATGTTGCTTTAAATGCTTCATTTGGTTTGTAGAGGTTATATTTAATAGGCAGCTTTACACAATGATTAAAGGGATACTTTAAAAAGTCTCTTTGGATTACCAGTTAACAGTATCAATTAAACCAAGCTTACAACTGCCACATGATCTTCTGACAGTTTTTAATTTGTTTGTGAATAGTTCATTCATTTCTGTGACATTTGTGATCAATAGTGACCATCATATTTCAAAAGCGATTTAAAGTATCCTGATGAGACATTTTTAAAGGACAAATTTAATGGCATCTCATGGTGTAGATGCAGATTACAATGCCCTCCGTCCCGTTCCAAGCACATATGAGTGGACCAGCAGCTCCATTGGCTGCAACAAAAACCAATACCATGCAGTCTTCTGATCCGATGATCCGACTTCTCACTTTATTCATGAGCTCAGTAAACAGTTTCCTAATGAGTTTACTGTCTCAATCTCTAGTTTCAAGTCTGATGTTCATTTAGTAACTGATGGTCCCATTAGGAGTAAAATAGACCATAAAGCAGGGTATGCTTTAGGGCAGGGCTACCTTGTGATTGACAGCTCATTCTCCGTCCAGCTCAACGCACCAAACTCAGATCAAACTGTCAAACTATGCAGTGCTGATCAGATATGGATCCAGATTCTGTTACTGCGTTGACTATTTCTCTCCTCAAATCTGTTCACAAACATGTTTTACTGTTTATCTGGAATATGAGGTTGTGTGTGAACAGGTGAGCTGCCATTGTTTCCTGTTACGGACAAGTCAAAATTGCTCAGCCAATGAGAGCAGCTCAACTCGCCCTTCTAAATGTTACACACTGGACCTTTAATTATATATAACTTTGTCTCGAAGTGTGGCAGTCTGTGGCTGGTACACAGCGACATTCTTCGTTTGACCACCAATAACATATGATCTCACTGTTATGCTGAATGGTCTGTTTAAGGTTTTACTTATTAACAGTACAACTGACCAAGTGACATAGTGTGACAACGCAGACGTACAGAAACACTTACAGTCAACAATATTGTCATGTTTAGTACCAATTGTAAATGTCCTTTGAAGTCCTTTCTTCCTACTCTCTGAATCATCCATCAACCCACACTTCGGTTTACGTCCTCTTGCCCCCTCTGCACTATTTGTGTGTGTGTTTGATTACACTAGAAGAGGGTTTACTTATTTTCCGTTTAAGCACACAATTAGCTGGTGGAAGGAGACTATCTTAGTTTTATCACAGTCGTTAAGCCTGATTATATCATTGGAGTTCCACCAAGCCAGGAAATATACCACATTGATTTTCATTCAGACATATCTTTATTGTTTTAAACTTTTCTTTCTGGATCCAGAAAAATGCATGTTAATACAAGCTGCAAATACACACAGAATCAGCAATCACATCGGCTTGGCCCACATTGTGATCTCTACCTGATATAATAATAATATTAATAGTCAGAGGTAATAACCTCTCTGCCTGTGTGTATTTTGTCTGGGCGTGGCACTGCGTCTCATTCCTGTTGTTTTTAAAAGTGTTTTCTTTTCATTGTTTGAACATGGTTTGTTTCAGTTTAGTTTTCATGAGTTTCAGTGTTAGTTTTAGTTTTACAAAAGTGTAAAAGTGTACAATTTTTATCCTGAGTATTTGTAAGTAAGATTTAAAAAGAATAGGTATTGCATTCCAAACAGTCGTAACAAACACATGCACCATGCTTGTTGTGTTGACATATTTCACCAAATGGAAAAGATACTTTATATTATACTTTACTCCCTTATATTGTAATTATATTTATTCACCTATTTTAAATTTTTTAATTTTGGGGGTGGGGAGCTTTGGCCTTTATTTGAAGGGACAGCTTGAGACACACGGGGAGCTATAGGGCACTCCTATTTTAATTTTAGTTTTAATTAACTATAATAACCTTGGTCCAAACATGTATTTACCTATGCCTCACAATCATTGTGGATCCCTGACTAATCTGCCTTCCAATCACCAGCACAGCTGTCACTGCTTGCTGTCCTTCTCTGTTGAAAGCTTTTGAGCCTCAGGAAAAGTCTCAGGAAAAACAAAACCTAACAACATATGAGTCCTTCCTCTGCAAAGGTAAAATAAGTAGAGCTCATACAGAGGCATTGCTTCACACCTGGGGCATGCCAAGTCAAGTAAAAGGGCACAAATCCACCAGCTCCACCTTACAATTAACACAATTGCACATTGCGATCTGATCACAGTTGATTGTCCAAGTTATTCATTAAGGATCATAAATCATCTGACTCTGTTGATGTGATTGTGAATGTTTTATTGGGGATCTCATTCATCCTTTATGGAGATCTTTCATCTGTGGCCCATTAAAGGACTTCAGACTTTGTTATGTGCTATAACAAGCCTTATCTGTGATCACTTCACAGGTGCACTTACCCCTCCACTGACAGGACCGAAGCTGTGTCCAGATTTATCAGGTTCCTCCAGATACAATGTGTAGAAATCTGGTCTGGGGGGAAAAGGTCATTTTTACTGAGACTGAAAAAAATCCCCCCTTTTTTTTTTTTTTCTTGACCTCACTGCTTTTACAGAAATTGTGGAACAACCAACCTTTCATCATCTGGCAGCTGGAGCCATTTAAGTACAGTATATACTCTTTCTTCAAATGGCACTTTCCTACAAACAAAAGAAAGAGAGAGAGAGAGAGAGAGAGAGAGAGAGAGAGCCGATGAGAACATTGTTTTTCTTACAGTGCCTTTTAAAGACATGCTGACATCAGAGGGTTAGTTTTAATGTGACTGAACCACACTGGAAAAGGTGACTGCTGCATCTGTTGTATTTGGTTTGTTTAAACAGGCCATTCTCAACTAAGAAGACATAACAAGCATGTGTATTGGTTTAATTCATAAGAAAGAAAGAAGAAACCTTTTTCTCAACCTTTTCCCATGTGTAAATTAGGCTCAATCTAAATGTCATGTCTTTATTCAGCCCAGTCTCAGGCCAAATTGTGTAATCGACCCACAGGTCAATTAAAGGATACAGTGTCAGTATTACGTTTTGCCTCCCCAAGACATGACAAGTACACACGTGTATAAAGGTGCAGTACCAAACAATTTCGTTTGGAAAAAGTGGTGGGGATGAATGGCTCAAACACACACAGGACTTTAAAGGCTGATTTTGTCAGGTATGATCTTTTCTTTTTTACCAAACCACACTGAAAATTCGAGTTCAGTGGGAGCCAGTGTCTGAGCTCCCATGAAAGAAGTAAAATCATACCTGTGTGGGGGTCGCTAATACATTACCAACATCCGTTATTTTAATGAATTTTTCAGTCTAATGAGTACTATATCTCTCTATATTGACTGCCTGTTTTCTGTTGGATTTATGACTTGCAAAACCCGATGCATCCTCCTATATAAAGACCCCCACAAAGGTCAGATTATAACTCCAACCCTGACCAAAGTGTGACATCAGCAAGCTTTATTTTAAAAGTGTAACACATTTTTGTCTGCATATTTAGAATATTTTGTTATTTGTTAAAACTAGCCTGACAAAAAATATTTGGTATCTTTGGAAACTCTAGGATCTCCACTTCTTTAATAATGTGGTTTATACATTATTTGTTTTAAAGCAATAATGTGTGGGCTTATGATGTGTATTTGGCAAACCAGGGTAGCTGACATTTCTGAGGAAGGCTTTAGGGTTGCAGCTGACTTAGTCAGCTTGTTAGGAAGAAATAGCTCCAAAAACCATAATAATATGTGGCGTGAGAATATTTTGCAATGTCCTTTGAAGTGTGGTAGGTGTGATGAGGCTGAATAACTCATGTTGAAACTCCAACAGACAAGACAAAACAAAAACAAGGGTGTCCAGTTAGCTCAGTCGGTAAGGCTGGCGACCCACATACAGAGTTGCTGCAGCGGCCAGGGTTTGAATCTCACCTGCGACCTGCGGCCTGTAGACGAAGGAGTTACAGGAAATGTATCACAAGTTCCACCATTGTTTACGCTTTCATCATCTGAATGGACATACACGTGCATATGTAAGAATGCATCTATAGGCCAATAGGAACACCCTCTCTCTGAATTGATTGGCCAAAGGCTCTCATCACAGGATATATTTTCTAAAGCCTGAACACAGAGCCAAGAGGAGGTGCAGAAGAGTTACAATATGTTTAAATGTTATTATTGGAGTTTTGCCTAATGGCACCAAAAAACTGCCAACCATAGCTTTAATCCGCTGCAGAAAATAGTCCCCAACAAGTGCTCTATTTCCTCCTGTTTCAGTAACATTTGTTAAAAACTGCAGTGTTTTCAGAAAAATGTCATATAATGAAGCAATATATTAATTATGTTTGTAATAGGCTTGGAGCTGAGAACCACATGCAGAATAGATTGATATTCTGTTTCACTTTGATTTGCCTATCCTATCAAAATCATCTAAACATGTTAACCAAACATGTTTGGATTTCTTTAGGTAGCCATAGTTGCGACCAAGTATAGATATTTATATTATATTATTCATTTAATAACAACTGTAAATACCTGTGACCGATTCCTGTTAATGATGGACTTTTTGTCCTTGGGTTTAATACCAGTTTAAAAACAAAGTGTTCCAGGGTGAAGACTGTATGGAAAAATAGCACATGAACTGCTCAGATCATCCGGGAAGTGAATGCAATGTAAGTGGCTCTTCACTGGAATCGATAACAGAGATAAACATCACCTAATCGAGTGACACAAGTCAGAAACTGCAGAAAGGAGTGTCAACAGTGGGCTGATAAAGAACATCTGTACACTGTCTGCCATTACACGCAGTGATAAAAAAACATTCCCTTATTCAATTCAATTCGATTTTATTTGTATTAGCGCCAAATAATTGTGTTGCAAAGTACAGTACTTTATCAGCTGATATCTTGTTATAGCTGCTTGATTGCTCATAATCACTTTGATAGGACTATATGCAACATAATGGTATTATCAACCATTCCCAGGCCTGTATCAATGCATCACACTTTTATTGATATTACTTCATAGGTCTTAACATGACACTTGGAACAAAAACAAAAAACACAGAGAACATGGTCCAATCTCAATGAAACTTCACACGTTCGATAAGAGTCCCGCCCTGAACACTTCTACATGACAATATTCATGTCGACATGTAGTCATACTTATAGTGCCACCTACTGGCAAAAGGGAATGTCATGTTTTATACCATCACGTTCTACTCCTAGCTGGTTGATCAGATCCAGCTGAAATTTGGTCAGAAGACAAAAAACATGTTGTTGAGGATATGTGACGAATATGGTGAGTTGTTGTTGAAGGGCATGTCGGTGGCATGGCGTCAAATCTTAATGTACCGCCAGAACGCATTAATTTGCCATAACTTGAGTGTACATTGTCCAATCGGCTCCAAACTACACATGTCTGAACACGTCTACATGACAATATTCAGATATAGTGATAGCGCCACCTACTGGCAACAGGAAGTAAGCGCCATGCGGCGATTTTGATCTGATTTACGTGAAATTTTCATGTTGTGGTCCGCACGTGTTAAGCCGGCACGTGACACCACCGCAGCACAACCTGAGTTGCGTGGAGTGCGAGGGCCCGTTCATCGCTGCTTGCAGCTGTAAATACATTTGTTATTGTTACAATTGTTGCTGTGCATCTATATGTCTCACTCAACCCTCTCCTCCCATTCACCTCTGCCTAAACTCCACCACTCAAGGCCGGACCAGGGTCTGCTCGAGTTTTCTGCCTCTTAAAAAGAAGTTTTTCCTTGCCGCAGTTGCCAAGTGGTTACTCATGAGGCCCAGCAGTTCCCACGTTGGGTCTCTATAAATAGCTCTATCTAGACCTGGATCACAGTCTGTTCTTTTGTAATGGTTCACAACCAGTAACACCAGGTTCTCACATTCTGGTTCCCCAGCATGCTTTGGAGTCTTACCCATTGTAAGGTTGGTAGATGTTGGGAAAGCTTCCGTTGATTTTGACATCTGATCCTGGCCAGAAGAAAGTCCCAGCCTTCAGCCCCTGGTACATTGCTGTGTGCCAAATCTACAAAGACAAACAGGACAGATGATGTCACTGAGATGTGGATCAACACAGACCAGGAAGTACAGAGAGAGCGGCTCCTCTTCTATTGAGCCCAGCATGTTGAATCACCATGTTTCTACAGTAACCCCTCCCCCACTCCTAAAACCAAACACCCATTCTATGAGTTCATCATCCAGCATGCATCTGAAATAATCCGAAATTTTGAAAAATCAAACCAAACAAGACGTACCGGCTCTCCGAGGTACCAGTCGGGGTTATCTTTCTCTGGACTGGACAGACTAAAGTGGGCATCAAACACCGGGTCGTACATAACGTTGTCAATCAAACCGTTGGACTCTGGATAGAGACCCTAAAAGGAGAGGAGAGGACAGCAGAGGAGAAAAGAGGAGAGAGACTTATTTGAAAATGACTTTTTCTATACAGCTTTAAAAATGCAAGTACAACATTAGTTACTGTTGACTTGTGACAAGGTGGAGTCAAATTAATCCTCAGAAATGAGTCCCAATGTGTCAATAGCAAGCTGGCACCAAGCTGTTAGTCAATGAGAGTAAACATTAGAAACCCTATTGAAACTGCTCTGGCTATTATTATTATTATTATTATTTTAATACCAAATTAATCGCATTTTTGGAGGCCTTAACATGCTCAAAAATTCATGAAACTTTGCGAAAAATGCCTAATGCTTAAAGGCCACTAACTCTAGGATTAGGCGTGGTAGGCAGCATCCGCCAGCGGGATGTGTCCTGGAATGACGCCCCAGTCTCTGAGATTTCCAAATCATGATAACCTGGCATGGAAGATACCATGATCAAGAAGGTGGTTCACTCAGGTCAAGTCTCAGTTATTGCACTCAAACTGTGCTGAACCGGAATTCCCCATATGTAGGAATCTTGACTGCATTATTTCTCGTAGTGTGGGATTGCGTTTCTGCTCTTTTTATGTTGGAGGGGGGAAAAAAAGAAGGACCTTGACTACTACAGATTTGACTAGTCAGCACGCTTGTGGGAATGTTCAGGCCACTGAAGTCAAGGGTATTGACTGGAGACTTCACCTAGCATACATGGGTAAATATGGGTAGAGTATTCAAACTCACAAAGGTGCACCCTCCTCCTAGCTTGTGGAAAATCAAACACCCATTACAAACTGAGAAACTGGCTTATTGGTGTCCCTGGTGAAAACTCGGTGGGGTCACAGTCTCAAACAATTGTATGTCAGCCATGACAGTTTAGGGGAATCAACAGCAAGATAATGCCTCAAAATAAATGCAGCCAGATTTTTCACTTTTCATCGGCAGGGAAACAGGGCTACAAGGTCCACCAAATCCCCTGAACGTATAACTTTCCCTCACAGACAGTCTAGAGGCCCTCAGGTTTTTTTGTTGGTTCCAAGCCTTTGTCTCTGAAAAGAAGGTGTGGTAATGTGGGAATGGCCTGAGGAATGGGTGTGGCCTGGGATCTTGGCAGGCAATAAGCCTAACAGCGGGTGGCTGGGACGACACCAGACTTCGGCAGCTCTTCAGCAGAGGGCAGTGTTTTCTCGGGTTCTCTTCATAATGCACAAGTTGTTTGGTTTTAAGTATAGATTTCTGTGGAGAGGAAAACCAATTAGGTAAATCTGTTTATGGCTTTGCCATTTGGCAATAACACTCAGCTTTGTGCTTTTGTGAGAATAAAGTAAGTCAAGTTATCCTAAACTGATCCCCCCTTAGAGAAATTATTTCTCTATATTTGACCTCCATCCCAAGTACTAGTACCAGTGGGCATCCACTGTGTGGTGCCTGGGTACCAAATCCAGATCTGAGCAAGTGGTACTCCGCTTAGCAAGGCCCTGCCCTAGACCACACCCATTGTCTCCTGTTCAGGTGTGGCTCCCGTTAGCAGGGGAGCAGCTCGTAACACGTCTGAGTTGTCAAGTGGCACACCATCCTGACTTGGGAGGATCAAATGAAAAAAAAAGTCTTCTTGCCATCTTGGAGAGAATCTGATCATGTGACTTTGTTCAATTCCACACCCACTATGTATGTTCCAAATTTGGGGTATCTGGGACATTTCTGTGGAAGATTATGGACTTTTAAAAATGAAAAAGGAAGTAGTCATAACTTCAGCATACATGGTCCAATCTTCACCAAAACTTCATATGTTTGATAAGAGTCCCACCCTGAACACATCTGAACATCTACATGCCAATATATAGTAACAGTGATATCGCCACCTACTGGCAATCGGAAGTAAGCCTTGTGTGGTGATGATCTGATCTACATGAAATTTCCATGTCGTGGTCCACACATGATACACTGGTGCATGACAAGGCTGCAGCACACCCTGAAAAAGCCTGGAGGTCCTGGAAAACTCCTATTAAATTTGTGGATTTTTAAAGTTTCATATCTATCAGATGAGGACCATGCTACCTGTAAACATGGAATGTTATGTTGAAAAACTTAAGAACCTGCATGTTAAAGCAAATTGTTCATCCATCACTGAATTTCCCTTGAATTTCTAAAACTACATGCTCTTTTGGTTCAGAGCAGGTAGTGACTGGCTTGTTGCAGAATTACAATGCAACACAGATGAAGTACAAGACTACAGCTTTTGTGCTAACATGCTCATAATCCAATCCAATCCAATCCAACTTTATTTGTTAAGCACTTTAAAAACAACCAAAGTTGACCAAAGTGCTGTACAGGAGAATAAATAGAACATCATAAATGTAAACAGTGATGGTGATGATGAAGACCACTGTGAGGAATATAGACAGTGATGGCGACAACACTGGAAAGTTCCCGTGGCAGACAACACGGACGAAGTCCGACGGCGATGAGCTCGATGTCCGGGCTGCAGACGCTCTTACATGCTATAATGTTTTCCATGTTGACCTATCCTTAATTAAGCATTATAGCATTCTAACATTTTCTAATTAGTACTAAAGACACAAGTTTGGTTAAGCTTGATGGAAATTTCATTAGTTTTGTACAGTTTAGGGAAAAAATTAGATTTTTGAGCTGATGATCGCACTATTGTACAACAACTCTGTCGCTTGGTCAATGGCCCTCTGCTTCAAAATATGACGCTGTAGGAATCCCTCTAGTGTCATATGTGTACGCACCCGACGTCCGAGTCAATTTACATAATATTAAGAGCAAGATAGTCCACACATGGAAGTAGTGGAGTGGGTGGGTGGCTCAAACAAACAAAAGACTTTGATCCAGGAGACTGCTGTTTGTGTCCTGTGTGAAACCCAAAAGTAGACAGTACACAAGTTACGCCAAGTATGTTACATTTCATTCATGTACTTAAGTTACATGAGGTACATAATGTGACTTATGTGTAATAATAATTTAATAATTACATACATTTGAAGTTCATAGTGTTTTTTTTCAAGCCACGGTTCTATAATCATGAAAATTATCAAAAATCTGATTACGTGTTGTTCACTTAAAGCTAAATTATGTAAGATTTGGTATTTGCTGCTATTAGGCGCCCCCATTTGCAATACCACTGTTGTAAATATAGACAATTGAACATTGAGTACATCACTTATGATCAAATACAGGCAACTTTACCACTTTTACCAAAATAAGTGACATATTTGGGGGTGTGTGACTTGTGGGGCTGTAAAGCGTTACGCACTTGTCCCAACCTGGAACAAAAAGTTACATGTTCCAAGAACAGGTGGAAGGGGGGAAAGAGTGGGAATGACAGAAGCACCATTCGCACAATTACAAGTGACTGAGTGTAACTATGTAGCAATGATTTTAAAGCTCTTATTTTAAGATATTAAAGTTTCATAATGTTGCTTTAAGATACTTTACCGTAACAATGGTGTAGTGATTAGGGAAAGTCTTGCTGGGAAATGCTGCCTGCATGTATGGTGCCGAGGTCCCACATGTCTCTGTGACAGAACGAACAGATAAGAAAACATTAACATTAGCTGCTACTTCAACATCAAAATTGAATCAACTGCAGTTTCAAAGTCTCAAGTAACAAGGGTGTGTTTGTTAGTGTCCTACATAGGGGCTCAATAAACTAATTATTGCGGGCCTGGCAGTTGACGCACAGTAATCCCAAAACCTCCGATGGTGAATCAGAATCTGAAAAAAAGTTTAGTATTACTACGGCAAAATACAATGAATTTGTAAGGTTATTTGTTGTCCTTACTAAACAGACTTAAGTTCTGACAATGAATAGGAATGTGGTCCATGTACATAAGAGCATAGTTTTCTATGAGAGATGTGTTTTGTTTGTTTTTTTGACATGAACATTAAAAGTATAATAGAGCATAATTTTGGTTGATACTAACTGAGTTTGTCCAGAACAGGAATGAGAGTGCTCCATGTCTGCAGGTACTCAGCCCGTAATCCATCCAAAGAGACGAGGAGCAGAGGCTGCTTCTTAAAACTAGAAATAAGGGGGGGAACAAAAAGATTAAATACAGACATAAACATACAGTGATGAGATACATGAAGGTGATCAACATGGTTTGGGGGGGGGGTTGTTTTGTTTCAGTTTGAATGAACTGTCTTAAAATCAAAAAATGTAAAATAAAAGTGTAGCTCAAATTCAAAAGTTGAAAAAAAACACACACACATTAGCGCTAAAAGCATTTTCAGATTGATGAATCTTTCCCATTAAGGATACATTACCCTGCTGGACATATGGGCGCTGACAGGTCCTCACACTCGTCCTCCACCCATGCTTTCTCTCCTACAGCAGGGTGGAGAAAGTACATAATAATAGTATATTTCAGGATGTAACCATTAAATTAAAGTAACATTAGTTGGTTAGGGTTTGGAGAATATTCTGTATCTCAAACATGAACAAAATACCAAAGATCAAATGAGGTGTTCTACTTTCACTATGAGGTGAAATGTCACCAGAATAAAGATGTGTGAGCGGCTCTGAGTCATAATGTCCTGAGCAGCGAGTATGACTGAAACTACATCGGTAAATAAAGGATTTATTTTGTGAGTTGAGTTTGTGATTGTTGGAGCAGTGGAGAGACTAACTGGTGAGTTTTATTTTGTTTCTGTCCACTTTGAATAAGGTTACATTGATATAAGGTAAAATTACAGTTTTTGTGGATGGAGTCTGGTGGCGATATTGTGGCTGTTTCTGGTCAAACAAAAGGTCTATCTCTGTAGGGATCCTTTCCATAATGTTGTTAGATTCTTAGAACAGTCCGAGTCTCTCAGTGGCAGTGCATTTATGTAACAGCAACATTGTTTATTTTGCCCAAACTTTTCTTACATTTATCTACTAAATATGCTTGTATCTTATGTTTCCTGTCGTTTCCCCCCCTCTCACCGTGGCAGATGTGTTTGTAGTTTGTGCAGCAGTCTCCTGCAGACAGACAGTCATCGGAGCAGTGGCATTTGCTCTGCATTAACCTCTTCTCTCCACAACGCAGCCTTGTGCACTCCCACTGCTGGGCTGAAGGGAAAAATGATGGAGTTAGCAGAGGTACAACACTGTACTATATTCAACCAAAGATAAAAAGAATATTTTTTTCTTTTAAAGTTGAGTTAAATCTGCAATATTTGTTCAGAAATCTTTGCTTTAAAACAGAAGGATAAATGGCAGCTCATCCAGAAGACTCAGACTCAACCAGCTAACAGGGAGTATCTCTAGGAGAAAAACCCAGATTGGAGTACCAGAAATGTTCCAGCTATCCTGGGAGATGTTCATTTTTATAGAAACAATGTCTTACTAGGGACGGTGCAGATGTCATGGTAGTCAAAGCAGCAGCTGTTGCTGGCATTACAGTTCTTGTCACATTTGCAGCCGGGGATGTCACCATCATACGGCTCGTAGCATCGATTCCTGCAGGATGTGTGGGGGATGACTGGCACCTCTCCTACAAAACATCTGCAGGTGAGTCATGGCCACAGGTACAAAACAGCGTAAAGAAGTCACTGCAGCTTTTATAAAAAAAATAACTTTGTGTCATTGTTATGACAGTCATACATGAGACACGTAATCTGCGGAAAAAAACAGGTTCTTCTGGCTCTTCTAACCCTAACTTAGCATATTGCAATAGGGCAATGTGCAATAGACGAACCAGCACCGTAGCACTTTAATTCTTATAGTCTCGTTTTAAGCTGCCACATTGTCAGTATTAAAATGTAGTGTCTTCCATGTTTTGAGATGTTTTTAAGTTGATTTTGTAATTGTTTTTTGATGTGTGTCTGTTGTTGAGGTATGCGTGTTTCTGTGAAGCAACAAACTGAAGCACTGTGCCCAAGACAAATTTCCCCTCGGGGACAATAAAGTTTATTCTATTCTATTCTATTCTATTCTATTCTATTCTAACCCTAACAGCTAATCAGAGCGGAGAAAGACAGTGGATTGTTCAGTCTAATTCACAGGTTGTCAAATAATACAGAATTTGACCTGGGAATGAGACTTTCTTGACTAGCAAAATTACCTTTTAAATTGTCAAACATCCTATGTGTAATTCATGATACAATTCAAACAGGATTAAAAACTTTTTGTCTCTGGTCATTACCTACCTACAATTCTTTCCTATATGATTGTCCACAAGAGTCATCTAATTGATAGTGTGGAGACAGATGAGTCCCCCTCCCTTTCCCATTGTGGGATTTTCCAATGCAAGCATCTCGTGCTTCATCTCTGTTTGGATGTTTTGCTCATCTGTCTGGGGGAATCATAATGTGGTTCTGACACACATCACTGTGTCACTGACTTTAATATATTGCTGACTGATGAGAGGACAAAGCTCAGACTACTCACAACCAAATCTGAGCACCGATTTGATCTACGCGTCAGACACAACTCTCGTCCTACAGTCGGCAGAACTGAGGAATCCTTAAAGAAAATGCTAACCCAAGAGGACAAAGCATATCCTTTAACCTATAACATCCAATAACATCCTATAACCCATGAATTACGACATTTTTGAAAGCAGAACATTTCACTTTCATAGAATTTACAGGACCACTAAGATGAAACTGGTGGTAATAAAACCCAGAACTTCTGACAGAAACAGCATGACGATGAGTGGCATCATACACGATATCATCATATAAAACAGCTATAAACTGATTAAAGACTGGAACAAGTAAGGGAAAATTACCACAGTAAAAGGAGGAAAGAGACCTCCTTTTACTCCTTTTCACTGACTATTTGGATCCCCTTCCACACTAAGAATGAAGACGTGCGCTATCACTCCCTCACTGAACAGTGCACTATTGTTACTTGATTGATGACATAGTTTCATGTTGTTCAGCCCCCTCAACTATAGGCATTTACTCATTTACTCATCCACATAACAAGAACACCAAATGATGCTCTATAAGCACAGCAAGTCACACTAGTATAGTGAAAAAACCTCACTCATCTTTGACACAGGACATTGATATGCATCCATGTAAGCGGAAAAAAAATCTTTGACCCCAAAAGACAAAACATTTAGTAAATTGTTATTACACAAATGACTGCGTCTCATATGAGTCAGTACTTCCTCTGGACGGAGCAAATCAGAAAACACGGTTAACTGAGATTAGGTTCTTTAAGGCATATACTTTTCAAATGATTCACTCACCTTGCATTTAACAACCACTGACTAACCTGCAGATTTCAGCACATGCATGGCTTGGTATCTTATCATTATGGACCATGGGTAAAATTAGACTATTATTAATGTCTCTATGTGATTATTATGTATAAGATTGGGACACATTTTTCAGGAGGGTTCTTGACAATAGAGGACAGCACTTGCTCACTAACATGTATGTAACTCTGCGTAAGCTCACTATCTCTGCGGTCTCAGCAGAGCAGAGCTGCAGTCTCTGATTACAGTTTTCCTTTCACTGTATCTCTAATTTGGCCACAGCCCATAAGTAACAGTTCAAATCAAGTAGAGTTTATCTTCTCACCTATTAGCCTATTAAAAGAAGAAGTAGACTGTGAAAGTGTTGATTGCACAATAGGCGCCATGCATGTAGATATGACTGTCTACAGCACTTACGAAATAGACTCGACACCAAAAGTTCATTGCAAGTGGTGTAAACAAATCCGGAATGACACGGTAGTAACAGCGGCATTTTCCCTTTCTGCTTTACGTAATAAAGTCTAAAGTGGAAAACTAACACAGGCAATCTGAGTGAAGGGCTAAAATACAATAAACATTTTCCAGGAGAACATCGATTATTTCCAGGATATCTGGGCATTGTTATCAATTCCCAGGTGTTTCCATGACTGAAAAACTAGTCCCTAATTTCCACTCAGCTTTGACGCAGGATATTAATGTGTCCATGTAAGCAGAAAAGAAACCATTGTAAACAAAACAACAAACAAAACAATTGTAGTAAGTATATGTATTACAATGTAGAGCCAATTATGTATACTCAATCTAAGTAAAGTGTGGTTCTATAGTTACATCTAGTGGCAGCTTTAGGAAAATACAACATTCCACAATTAATTAAATATAGGATATTAAATGGTAAAATGTATGGAGATTCATTCACTCTTTACATCTCCAAAACTGAATGCCGGACAAACAGCTAGCAAGACAAGCCAAGATAAAGTGAACATTGCTGTTTACTGTGTGGCTAACGTTAATTAAACAGTTTGTGAGTTCCTCTAATCTTTTCAGTTACCTCTGGCTTTGAGAAGCTTAGAGATTCTGGGAGTGTGGAGCTTTCCCTGAAAATCGCCACCTGTAGCTCCTTCCAAAACTCAGTTTAAAAAACCATCAATGAAGTAAGTGTGAGCAACTGGTATTAATCAGCAACACGAATACAGCGCTAATAATGGATTGCAGTCATATTATGCTAAGAGTCAACAAAGTGTGACTGATTACAAACATGTATCATACCGTTATACAAGGCCTTCAGTGTGGCGCAAGTGTCTTCAAAACAAAACTAACATTTTCCATCCTTCCTTAGGGCACGGAACTCCGATCAGATCGGAATGATCTGAAAAATGATGAGTCACTGGACATTTGAGTCATCAGAATTAGGACGTCTTCAGTTTTGGTAAACAAGACAAGAATGCATTAAATGAGTACGGTGGCAAAGTTTGTGGCAGCCAACTGTTGCCGTGGAGACACACATTACTGTGAAGTTTGAGTCTCAGCCAAGAGGTGGGAGTTTGTATTAACTGCTGCTTGAAACGAAAATGCAAAGTGTGCGTGCCATTTCGCATGTCGCTGTGTGTGTGTGTGTGTGTGTGTGTGTGTGTGTGTGTGTGTATGTGTGAGTGAGTGAGACAACACCTTTGTCTAATCCAAGACCAAGTCCAAGACCGAGGATTAGGGTCACAATCAATACAGCCAAGACACCTATCTGTGACACAGAAACACACACACACAGACACACACACACACACACACATTTCCTTGTGAGTGTGTGCTGACATAAACAAATCCTTACCTTGAATCCTTACAATAAAACAGTCTTGATAGCCATCTCTTTTTATGCACAACCTATCGTTGTGAAACAAAAGTCAATCTTAATTTGAGAGTCATGTGGTTTTAAAACTGGGGATTGGGGACCAACAGGGGTCCTTGAGTGGGTTGTAGGGGGTCCCCAGCAAGAGAAGTATTATATATATTATATATAATATATTTGCAAGTTAGAGCAACAGAGGAAGAAATATCATTGGCTGTTTTATTGATTGTTTGATCATGGTTTGTCTATGGTAGTCAATGAAGGCTTTTGTCTTCAAACCTATAAATAAAAAGACACAATCCTTTCAAACTGGGGTTCTGTGGTCTAGTGTGCACGAGGAACCGCTGTGCTAGAATTTGTTACGTATCAGCTAAAGTAGTTTTAAAAAGAAAAAGCACAGCCTGGGCCATCAGCAATTTTCTTATCTGATTACAACGAGGTGTAACATAACACACCTATCGGTCCAATTTAGTGCAAAGCTACCGGTGGCTTGTCTTTTACATTCCTGTTCTGTTACAGCATGTCACTATTCCCGTTCACTGTGTTTCTGTGACACTCCTAACAGACAAATGGAAATTCTGTTGAAGCTGTTGCAGTGGAACTGTGTTAACTTGGTCTGTAGATGGTTCACATCTGATTTCAAGTTAAACTACCATATGGTTCAGTAAAAACAAACATTTATGGGAACACAGTTGGGAGCAATTATCATCTAAGCAATTATAAATATTTATAAATGGAGCAATTCTACATTTCCACAACAAAAGAAATGATTTGGATGAAAATACTATTATTTATACTATTCATCAAATCTTTGCGTATCAGGTTTAACTTAAATAGCACCAGGCTGTTTTCTGATCTGTGTGATTGAAGGTTGTTTTAAAAATATTTCAAAGAATAACAAATTATTTTATTATTTATTATTTATTATTTCATATTGCTCTTGCACTGCATTTAACCTCTAAGTTCAACTGCAATCACACACACCACACACACACACACACACACACACACACAACAGGCATTACAAAGACTACAGATGTGCATGATGGAGATAGTTCTGTGAAATGTATTTTATCCATCTACAATGGATTTTCCAGAAGATTCAGCCCAATATACTGGATACATATACTTTATATCCATATATTGATATCAAATTACATAAACCATGGAAGATAGTATCCATATTTATCCATATTCGCTTCTGATGCCTTTCCTTTATGCTTATGATGTCCCTAATGTAATACATATTAACAACCACAACCAATTATCCAGTGTCAGTGTCTTCTACAGAAACTGACTATCACAAAGTGATATCATCATTGCCAGAATTATTCATTATCTAGCATATTACTCTAAGAATGGCTGACTACATTGGTGGAACATTTTAAATTTAGATTTAGATTAGATTTAAATCACTCTTGTGATAGTGTGGATCCAATGTGAATCTGGTCTACTGCAGTCACTATGAGAGGGATTGGGGTCCCATATGAGTCCATGATACCACTTTTTACATTTAATATCCAGTATCCATATTTAAGTGTGAAAAGGTTTAAAATGACATCTATCTTAGCACATCTTGCAGTGTATTAAACTTCTAAATAAAAATGCCGATACTCACAATGATCTTCTTTTTCTGCGACTCCTTCACCCAACCCATGGCTGTTACGAACGAACACAGCACGCAGACAGAAAGTGAGTAAAACACGTCCCTCTGTTTGTGAAAAAGGAAGATATGACAGCCCTGAACTCTGGACTTGGTGCGAGCAATAGATAAGTAACTGATTGCCGTGGAGATAACCTCACGTTTCTGTGTTTTCCATCTGTCAAAGCACAGATGACGATGCTTATGACACCTTTTAACTCTAGAAACACACCTGATACATGCAAAATGAAAATGGTAAGTGTGGGTAATAATTAGCTAAGACCTGGAATACAGACGGCTGCTGTATAGAGATTCAAACTGCCAGTGTGAGATTGCTGTGAATGTAAATAACCGCTGATAAATATTTATTGGTTTATTGGAGATTAAACTACAGCAACTAAAGCCAATAATTGACTATTAATGTCGAGAAGATGTGAAATATTGACTCATGCCTTGCTGCCAGTGTCTGGGAATTTGCTGTATCAAAGCGGATGAAACCTTGAGCTTGGAACTATGACAAATAGGCTCAGTTGATAAGCTCTGATTACATTTTGAATTCTGAAAAATCATCACCTTTGCACTGCAATAAAGTGGAGCAATATGGAGTACACCTCACACCACAGCATCCTGCAAAGACAAAATAGCTGCAATAATTAGTAGTAGTTGCCATGTTAGCATTCAGTTTTACGGACGGCAAAGCTGGTAGTCTTTCTGTCAGACCAACCTGTTGGTGTGGAGGGAAATATCTGCAGTGTTGGATGGATTCCCTACAATTTGGTAGGATCTGGAGTTCTTACAGAGCCTCGGAGATGTCAGCGTTTTAAACAAAAAATTGCTTTTGAATTATTTAAATAGTACTCTGGATTTTTCTGAAGTATAATATTCTAAATACGGTTAACATGTTTAAAGATAACACAATGTTTGGTGTCCAGGTAGCTCACCTGATAGCTGTGATTTCCAGAATATCATCGTTGTACATTAACATCAAGCACTATCACACGTGTGTTGATTTTATTTTTACCAAATTTTGTTTAGTATGTTGGCAACCGGCGCAACAAGTCTCACAATTTTATTACCAAAGTGACATATTTCATATTACAAATAAAAAAAAGAAAAAGAAAGGAGCTCTCAGACAGGATCCAGTTCATCATCTTTAGAGTGTGCACACAACATATCAAGGCACAGTCCTTACCGCATTGTCTTGGGTTTAATTCCAGCCTGGGCCCCTTGCTGCAGGTCATCCCCTCACTCTTTTCCCTACTGTTTTTGTATCTCATCAGTTATCAAATGAAGGTTTAGGCAGAATAAAAAGTATTTATCTTCTCCTTTTTTCTTCTTCTTCTACTTCTTCTATCTTCTATTTCAAATATTAATTTATTTAAAATACCATGCTAACTGTAAGAATATTACCATCCTAACATTAGCATGCTAAATCTTAATGCTACATAAAATATATGGCTTATCCAAATATGTGATCACTGTATTTGTATTACAGCTTAATGTACACTGACCAATCACAACTGCAAACATGATAACGTTGGCATATAGTGGCGTGGCTATAACTTACACTGATGATAAACTGACTGATCAGTTCGGCTCTACATTGCTTTTAAATCCTCAACATAACATTATCAACCAACTGCAGGTTTTAATCATTATAAACTGTTATTAACTTTCTTGGTTGTAATTTTTCATGTTACTGAAGCAGTAGCCATTGAGAACTGAATTCAAAAATATCTTCGTAAGTCAATTGTTGATTTCTCTTCAGTCTACAGTAGCAATTTACACGTAAGCTAAACAAGCCACTTGTCCAGGTGAGGAGGTTTAAAATTGTATGTTTTAAAATGCCTAAAATGAGATACAATATGTGTGTAACAGAACCTAGTGTGTATTCTGTAAATACAGAAGTGTTTGCACTGGCCCTTCTAGCTGTGGGTATACACAGTCCCATACAACTGCACTTCCGGGAAATAAATATTCCTCTCTGCTTTGTCCTGCCTTTTCTTTTCTTTCTGTCTCTCATCTTACCTTGTGTGTGCACCTGGCCACATGTTCTACAACAACAAGTGCTTTGTTATTTGAAAAATTGCTGGCAATTACTATACAGAGTAAATCAGTTCCAGGACTTTGTGACACAACAGTTACCATACGAACATCATAGTCATACAGTACATCAGTGCCATATTGAGACTCTGAGCAGTCTGGGTCTCATTTACTTTTGGCAAATACATAAAAACAAATCCTCAGCATTATTCCAGCAGTTTCCATCAGAGCTTGTGTAAAATGGGTTAACTCAGACCACCTGCCCAGCCTCAACAAAAAAAAAAAACATGACTTATGCCAAAGTCCAATTTTCTCTGCAGGTGATAGGCTTATGCCAACCCTTCCCATTAACTGCTGCGGCATGATGTAGTATAAAGAGCGACAAAGCTGGAGGTGGTCGGGGTTATTTTAATTTAAGAATGTAAGTATGCAAATTTTAACTTTAATAACTTAAAGGACCAGTGTGTAGGATTTAGTGGCATCTAGCGGATGGTAACTTCAGAGTAAAAGTCACTTGTTTTCCCCTCCCTTTCCAAGCACGAAGGGAGAAACTACGCAAGAAAGGTCACCTGACTTCATTCTTTCCTGCACATCCAAAATCCACAGAAGTTAATGGCAAGGATTGGCATATTCTGCATTCAGTTTAACGTATACACTGCAAAGATTAGAAAGTGTAATGTCGTGTTCTTTGTACCCAGAGACCAGGTAGCAGTCCACAAACTGTACAGCTTTTTGTTTTCAATGTTGTTCAATCCAGTTGCCTCCCTGGAGCGTCTGAATAATTTTTTGGATACAGTGAAAGAGTAAGACTTGCCACTCCCTCATTATTTCCATTGATATGCCTTTGAACAGGGTACAACTACTTCGATGGAGCCAGTCAGTGGTAAAGAGATGGTGGTTGTATTTGGCAGCATCTAAAAGTGAATGGGTGTTACTGAGTGTGTATATACAAGGGCTTCCTGTAAATCTTGCCTTTCAGAGAAACCTTTTGGAATCAATTAAATGTTATTAATCGAAATAACAGTATGACATTACAGTAACATCGATGTATTTGTATACTCCATAGTGGCTTAGCGGCAACAGCAGGCCTTATGTTGCTATAAATGCAATGGCGTTGATAATACTAATAACGTCATATACAAATGGCATTAAAGGAAAGGCACAAGATAACTTCAAGTTCATTAGCTCTTTTTTTCATTTATATGTGGTTCTAAATGTATTTTCTGCAAACTCTGTTGAAAGAAATGAAGGAAAATGGATGTGTTTCAGCTCTACTGTTTGATCTTAAATTGACCTTATACCTTACATTCATATAGGAAGTTTCAACTTGTCATCACACAGGCTACACATACAAAATTAGATTTACTACATAAATGTTTCCACTTGTGGTACTGTTACACAGAATGAAACACATGAGGTTTGGATCAAATTTTGGCAGAATTAAAATGATCTGTGTGCTTCATATATTTTTAACAAGGTTTAAACATTTCATCTACAATCTACAAACAGAAAACTGAATATCTGGTTGGTTTGGACCTAATGTTATTATTTTTTCATATAAAGGCTTTTCATAGGAATACTGTTTTTCCATTGTGACAGACTTTACTGGTGCCATAGTAAGCCTGTTTATTCTGTTTATTCTAATGAAACACATGCTGTACTGGTTTAGTCATTAGTGCAGGTTATAGTGACATGCTGCTTATGAATAGTAAGGCACCCAGTCTTTTCAAATAACTCCTTGGAAATTATTATTAGTATTATTAAGTATTTTTCTCAAGTACCTGCCTTTTCCAAACATTTTCCAACGATGACGTCCCAGATGGTTGTCTAACAAACAAACGCAGAGTGTAATGTCAGGTTACATCAGCAGCCAATCATTTGCAGAGGCTGTACTTGTTGTAATGTCAACTAAATGAAGAAGAACTCAGTTCCAGTCATTCAAAGTCTCTACAGCTTTTATTTGAAAGACTACAGGAATATACATGGTTTCATCTACAGTTTTGCAAGCTCTTCAGTCATTTTATTGGCTTTTTATTGATTATTTTCTATTGATTACCTAGATAGCTAGCTATGTTAACTCATCAGTGTAACGTTATGAAAAAATACCGGTTCTGACTACTTTTATCTCTGCAGAGTTGAAAGTGTGACTGCAGGAAGTCAAATCAGGAGACAAGGTGACTGTGGTAACAAACAAAAAATGAGACCAGTGTTGTTGAGCTATTGATAGTGAATGAAAGGAAAATCATTTTACAACCTAATTCTTAAAATTGTAGTTTTGGCTGTCTTCAGTAATTTTGCAGATACTTTGGGACCCAACAGTTCTGCAGGACACAGCTGGATTACCATGACGGTGAATGTTTACCAATGTAAATATGAATGCTCATTATAATTTCCATCATATTCCTCCATATGTATACTTAATATGTTATCTCTAAACCTACCAGAATTAACAACAGTTGGGCAAGTACGCAGATATAAAAAAGCAGAATTATTTTGTACCTTTTAGGAATGTTAACCATCAATTTCACCTCCAAATCCTGTGAGTGGTTAGGGTGGCGCAAAACATTAAAACTGGACATGTTTCAAACCTGCCTCAGGGACTGATCTAAGCCTCTTCATTGTGGCGTGGCTACCTTTCCCCAACAACGCTGATGAGTAAAATGTATACCAAAAGTATGAAAATAAAACGTGTCTTTTTAAATAAAAAAATAATAATTTTCCTTTAAGGCAGCATCAGTGTTGTCACCTTCTTTAAATTAAGCACTACATTAGATGTCTATTTCTATCTTATTAAAGTAAACGGGGACAGATCTTTTACACTGGATTAATACTGAAATATTAGGTACGGTTATAATTAGATTCTGCGTAATAAATATCATAAATTGTATAAAAATATACACCTAAATGATCAGCTAACACAGAGGGAGGGAAAGAGAGATATGAGGCAGGAGGGTGTGAAAACAGTGAGAATATTGTTGCAGTTGGTAATTGTCTGTGTTTGTGTTTTATGTGTACGGATTTGTTGTTGTTACTTCTGTCCAAAATTTCCTTAAACTTGTATGTTGGCAAAGAAACCTTCCATTTGTACTATTAAGATTTGTCTTACACACCAATGGAAACTCAGTAGGCCATAAGAAATGGGAAAGAGCCATCTCAGCCGTGAACTCTGGCATCGTTCTATATTATTTGCTATTGACGCATAGGCTTGTATTGGTCAGCATTTCTATCTGACTGCATCATGTTGGTCTTCCGTCCAATTTCAAGCCACAGAGTCAAACCACATAATTATTTTTACATCAACAATACTATTTTTCCTTTTCAGTCATACAATAAGCACCCGTGGTAACCCACAAAGAGCAATACTCAAATATTTATCTGGAAACCATTGTTAGTTGTCATAAAAGTTGTAAACTACATGAAAGGGCTTAAATGATTTTTCTTGTGTTTAATGACACATACTTCTGACCCTGGTGTACACATGAAGTTTATATATCCGCTACATGTTTAAATGTCTATTGCATGTTTTTTTAAAGGACTAGCTTAACATTTTGGGAAATACGTTTATTTGGAGTAAACAAACAAGATATAACATGTTGGTGCTGGTAGGCAGTTTTTGTTACCTTTAGACAGAGCCAGGCTAGTCTTTATGCTAAGCTAAGCTACCCAGCTGCTGGCATGACAATGGCATCAATCTTCTCATCTAATTCTAAACAAGAAAAAGAAAAGGTATATTTCCCAAAATGTCAAACTATTCCTGTACAGAAGCATACCAGCAATGTTGCATGTTTTAGCCCATCAACTGCAAATACTTCATATTACTGCTGACTATTTTGCAAACCATGCTGTAGATTTCTTTATGTATTTTTCCAACTAATCTGGCAGCCATTAGCGTCAATGTTTTTCTATAAAGCATGAAAATTGAGTGCAAGTTAGTCTGAGTGCAGTTTGCTATGAGAAGGCCTCACTCTGTTACCTCACAATGATATTTGACAAAAAAAATAACAGAGACTGTGATTAGTGATTTTTATGAGTAAGAAGAGACACATTCAAAAAATTAAATTCTACAGCATGCAAGGGATGGTCAGTAAGAATAAAAAGTATACATTGTTAACAGTTAAGGGGCTAAAACAACAATTTGGTCCTTTAAGTGTGCATGACGATGTACTGTATAAACTGTATTTATGAAAAATGTCACACATTCTGCATCATTGCTTTGCTTATTCTTTCCCAGATTTGTTGGATAGAATTGAATATTCCTGTTGTAATCTTCCAAACTACTTCTTGCCAAACCATTCTTTTAATCTTTTCAATTTTCAAAAGTGTGTTCCCTTTTCCAAGCACTTCTCGGGCAGTTCCTGAGGAGTGGAACAACGATGCGCCGGGTATCCAGCAAGCATGCAGTGAAAATGCATAACTTCTACAAAGGGCTACATCCTGTATGTGTTTGTCTGTCTCTCTGTGCTTCTAGTCGTCACTCTCGAAGGTGTGCAGGTAGGTTTTGAGGATCAGGGTGCTGGTGTAGGTGAGGTTGGTAGACCGGTAGAGATCTAGGCCCGTCAGGATCTCCACGTCTTTGACTCGGGCCGTATGGAGCATCAGCAGGTCTTCAACCCACTGCGATTCATCCTCTGCATTCTGCAGAGACACAGACAGGAAATGGTTATTCACTGTGTATACCGTCAACAGCTTACTCTAATACCTTATTAAAGCTCATGTTTCAGTCATTGTTTTCAGTACAGTTTTCATGTCGCAATGAACATTGACAGAATGTACTGAAAAAAATGCAATAATTATTCATTGATGAAAATTTTAATCTATAAATTAAAAATAAAACATATAGTAAAAGATCTTCCCCCCTCACAAGTTTCCAGAGCCCAAGCTGACATTATGTATGACCAACACTCAAAAACACAAAGATATTTAATTTACAATTGTATGAGAAGTGTTTCTATAAATCACACACACATTTCTGTGTGTGATTGTATGCAGATGATACTGTTTTATATTGTCCATTAGCCATCAAGAAACTCCATCTTTCCTTTAATGCAAATCTGAATTGTAAATTGGTGTTGAATGAAAATCAAACAAAATCCTCCCTGTTCTTCAGAACCAAAAATATACATAACATTAACATAAATATCTTCACTTAAATTGGGTTTAATACTGAGAGACGTTGGCATCTATATTGGCATTTAAATATTATTTTGTTTCTGTTCTGTTAAACCATTCAACACAAAGTTGTCACAAAAGACCTAACCTACCCTTTATCAATACAAGTATACCAATATAAAATAGAGAAAAGCATCAAATGCTCAAATTTGAGAAGCTAGAAAGGGCTACTGTATTGCATCTTTGCTTTTATATTTATTCTTTATCTGGAAAACCATTTTCCTTTTGTTGTAGGCCAAAAACATGGCATAGTGGTTTATAATCAAGGAAAAATGTCATAACTGTGGAAAGTTATCTTATATTTCAGCGTAAGGATCGCAAGGTAAACAATGGTAAAGAAATGCAGCATCCAATTTATCAACCAGTGCATGTATTTGATTAGCCACATATAGAGACACAGTGATGTTTATACGTGCAGAGACTCAAGGATTCCAATAATGAGTGGAGATAATTGGTTTGACAAAAAAACATTATACACCCCTGCAAACTTCACAGTGAAGTGTGGGATTTTGATAACCTTTAAAGAAAAGGAATAGTTAACTGGAAGCAGCTGGTTTGTTTATGTGCAGACTGCAGGAAGGAATAATTACATATGGCTCACACACTGTTCATCCAAATTAAATGTTATTAAAGCCCAAGTTAGGCCCTAGCAAAATAAAAACAAATGTGTTTCTCAATAACAGACTGGGTATTTATACCTTGGAAAGCTGCTGCACGCACGCATAATGTGGATAATGGAAATAATCAGGAGCAAAGATGTGACAAAGAAAAGAATTCACTTATTAGATCACGTAAACGGCTAACTTAGTGAATCCTCACAAGAAATAAAATGGTAAATCAGCAAATGTTGAAAGAGTTATTTAGTTTGTTGATTAATCATTAAGTAGACAAAAAATGTATAATTTGATTAAATTTCAAATAATGCAAAATTAACTGATAACCATTTCAATTAAATTCTTTAAATAATTATAAATAAAAAATCATTTTAACTTTGAGCTTTCAGCTTCTCTAGTGTGAGTTTCTTAGTTTTACATCATTGTAAGCTGAATCTCTTTGAATTTTCTAACTGTTGTTTAAATTTAAAACAAATTTTGATTTGTCTTGTTTACTGACATACTGTAACTACACATTAAAAGTCAAAGGGCGCCCTGGTAGTTTACTTATCTATGTATCTATATTTCTCTCTCCTCTCTCTCTCTCTCTCTCTCTCTCTCTCTCTCTCTCTCTCTCTCTCTCATCTCCCTAACCCTAACCCATAAGAATATTAATTTATGTTCCTTGACACAACTAAACACATTCAACACCTCAGGTAAGATCCATGAGAAATGTTGTCACAGGAAACACTTCAGCTTTTAACCAAGAAGTCAACCATTAGCTGGTTTTACAAGGGCATGTAAAAGTGGGCCGAAAAGATGAGTCAGTGTTGTCTTTGTCTTGTCACTGAAGTAATTTAAGTTGTTTGTTCACCTTCCTATGTCGCAAAAAATAGCTTTTTTTATTTCCTGAAGTTCTGAGCTGCGGTTTGCTTGTGTAATCCTTTTATAAGCATATTGCAGCTAAAAAACAAGATTGTGTCCAGTGTGCAGTTAGTCATGATGCATTTATGGTAAAACAGCTTAGTCATGGTTAGGATTAGCACCCTAGAGGGAACTTTGACATGACATCTATGAAGGCACTCTTGGTTCAATTTTTTTGATGTCCCATCAATGCATGTTATGAACTTGGCATCTTCTCTGGAGTTTTTGTTCTTTCCCGTCTCACAGGTTCCCCTCATGCCATTGTCCTGCTGTATCCAGTCTTAATGCTAAGCTAAGAGAACTGACTGCTACCTGCAACTTCATGATCAACGAAGGCATGTTTCCCAGAATGTTGAACATCTTCTTGTGAGAACCTAATTTGTGTTGTTTTCATCTCGATGTTCGCAACTATGCACATCTTGAGACAGATGAGGTTATGTTCCTCATGATGCACCAAAACATCATTCTCCACAAACTGTAATGATCACAACAAAGAAATCATGGTGAACTGCGCCTAATGGGAATTAGTGTCAGAGTACTTGGCCACTTCCTCCATGCTGATACAACTACTTGGGTTTTTGTTTTTTTGGCATCTTCCTTTACTTTGAGTTTGATATGACGCTAAAGATAGTTAGTTGGATAGTCAGACCCTATGACAAATGTTTTTCATAGAAAGAGTTAATGTACAATAATGATGATTGCTACAGTTGCAACCCTATCTGCGAGAAAAATCACAATTATACTGCTAAATAGTTCTGTCAAATATGTTTTAGTGGAAATGTAACTGCCTTGAGTATTCGTGTTGTTTTATCCAGTCAAGAAAGTATTACAGTATTGCATGTTGAGAAAGGTGTTCACATCCTGTGTCCTCCTTGTACTTTACATTACGTTGATTGTGGTTAGGAAAAGACTGATTTGGTCAATGTTAGGGAAAGGTGTTTTGGGTAAGTATTTAAAAAGTAAATACATCATGTCTTAGTCTTTAAGTCACTGTTGGCTTCTCCAGTATTTCAATTTCCGTCACTTGGACGTTTGACCATCATTATGCAGAATGTTGTTTGGGCAGAGTTTGACACAAGAAGTCTATTTCCACATTTATCTGCTATGTTTGGAGCCAGTCAGGGTCCGTGGGCAACTCACACAAGGTTGATGTGAAACCTCCAGTGCACACACATTGATAATGAACATTTAGGGAAGAAGAAAAAGAAATCATGTTGCTTCGTAGCTGAATATTAAAAAAACAGATCTGACATAAACTCAAAATGATGAATAAATGAATGATTAGTCAGCATCAGCTGACTAGAGGATTAATGACAGTTACACAGTAGCAGGAGCAAAGGGTCATGGTCTTTTGAGTGAGCAATAAACAGTCACAAGATAAATGACATGAAGTGACAGCAAGATTAGCTTCAGGTAGGGAAAAGGTCACTGCTGGTATCAGAAAATGTGAGCTTTTTCTTGTAGCTTTTGCCTGTGGTTAAAAATGATTGAAGCTTGTAGTACAAAAATTAGTGCTGTCAAACGATTAAAATATTTAGTCGCCATTAATCGCATTAATGTCTTAGTTAACGTTAATAACGCGTTTAACTGACAGCACTAACAAAAATACATCTCTCATGGAAAATACTGCAGTAGCATGTAGCTGTAGTAGTAGCCTTTAATTTGCTGGGGACATCAACCTATTGCTCCAACTAATTACTTCATCATTTCCAGCATCACTCTTAAAAACAACTTGTGTGTTCCTCGTAACCATTAATACGAATCCTTATCTTTATCAACCAGGAGACATAAGCAGGAAAACTCAAAACAATTCCTGGAAACACACACTCAGAACTGACCAAAGGTGAACAGCGATGTTGGTTAAACTTGAAATCCATTAACAATTACTCATGCATGTGCAAGTGGCACTTAGACCATATCGATCATGTTTGATGCACACGTTGCACATATTCCTATTAACTTACTTGAATTCAAAGTTTTTTCTGTGCATTGAAATTACAATTAGATGAATTGGGTGTAGTAGATACAAGGACAGGACAGGTCAAACAAACAGAAGACTTTCACCCAGAAGACACACGTTCATATCCTGTGTGCAGACTTTTACTTACTTTAGCTCACTGTATCTTTTCCTGGCCCTAACCAAGTAGCATTTGTGCCCAAACCTAACCAAACAAAATTATGTGGAGTTTCTGACCACTGGTAGATGGAGCAGTGTTTTTTTTTTAAGAGTGGGTCTCCATTTTGTTTCGCATGTGTCAAAGCGATTGTGATGTCCATTCACATCCTGCCATTGATTTCACACTCGTACTTAATCAGTTATTATTGATTAAACAATAATTTGGGTCATTTTACAATACATTTTCTTCATGTAATATTTGTGTTAAGACAACATCATTAACTCTGATGCATTTCAGTAGTATAAGTAGGATTTTGGTATATTTCATATTTGGCTTGGTTTCTCCCTTTAGAAAATAGAGAAACCACATGAGACTTCTACAAGAGAGCACAAAGGAGAGATGTGTGAATACAAAAACTCTTCATCAAAGGCTTGATTGAGGCATTCTCTACAGCCAGCATGCTCAACTAGTTTTTGTTGATGGAAAATGTGATACACTGTCTGGGTTGTGAAGATGTTCAAAAGGAACTCAACAGACTTTAGCTATGAAAATAGGCACAACAATGCTACTGAAAGCACCTTCAGTACCCACCCACTGACGACTTTAAGACAGATTTGTCAGGGTGACAAAGACAAGTCATGACACAAAGAAGCTGTGAGAACAACTGGTCACAGAAAGAGAACATAATGCTCATACACCCACAGACACACACTGATTACGTCAGACTTGACATCAAGGCCCTTAATAAAGGAATTCAGACCACAAAAGACTGCTTTTAAAAGGAGGACAGGAGTACTTTATATATATAATCTTTCAAATACAATGTGACCTC